ATACAAGCCAGATAAGAACTGTTTTTTGTGACAATAAGTTGACTTTAAAGAGACTGATCCTGTCTCTTTAATATCAAAGATTGTCAAGGTTTGTGAGTTATGCATCGGAAATACTTCCGGAAGGTGTGGTGCGCGGTGAAGAGAAATTATTCACTAGGGTCAATGATCTTTGACTTATAGGAAAACATCTTAATTTTCTATAATTATAGTATACTAGCTGTTGCTCCCGACTTTGCCCGTGTAAAATATAATAAAAGAGATGGCCTATGTTACTCCCTGATAACATAGCTTTTTAATAGTAAAAAAAATTTTTGAATTCGGCCGACTATTTTTTGAGTTATTTCAATACATACAAAAATACAAATCTTTCATCTTTATAATATTAACTAGTATAGATTTATTACAATTCATGTTGGTGTAGTCAAAACATTTATAAAATTGTAAATAAAACCAGCCAGCATTCGTTCATTATTGTATCTCGCCAAAACAAAAGACGGATGTTTTAAAAACAAAATATGGTCGTTACATCATAAACGAAATGCTTTCTAAAAATGCCAAAACTAACCTATTAGACACAGAATTGGATTAAACACTAGTAACCTGGACTAGACTTCTACGTTAAAGATTGTCAAGGTGACGTCGTCTTTTTACCATGGTTTGAGGGAGAAGAGATAACAGACAAATGACATTAAATTTGCTGATTTTAGCGCCTCTGTACAGCTGGGCGGTCGCCTAACCACGTCCTACCTAACGAAAGATATAAAATAAAAACAACCAAAATATTGTAGAGAAATAAAAAATGCGTAGATAATGTTATTAGTAATAAATTCCCACGTGATTAGAGACAATAAATCAATGCTTTATCAATACTAATATAAAGAGGAAAGATTTGTATTTTTGTATGTATTAAAATACTTCCATAACTACTCTAGTCATTTTAAAAATTCTTTCACCATTCACACGGCATTAGTGAGTAACATAGACTACATTTATAACTTTTTTAATGCCAAGGGGACGAAGTCGCGAGCAACAGTTAGTGTTAAAATAAATTATTTCATTCACTATCGTAATAATGGTCAAAGGACAGGTTAAATAACTCTTAGGCTTCCTGCGGCCTTGTCCTCAATACTTTATTGTAAAGAAAGTGTGGCATTGGCAGCTAGTGATAATTTATTTCGATTAAATATGGTATCCTCCATACTTCCATAAATGCAAAAGTCTGAATGGATGTTTTTACTATGCATTCTAAAAACGTCTTAATGGATTTAGGGCTAGTGTAAAAATAAAACTAAACACACAGCATAAATATTGCGAAAAATTAACCACAACAAAAAATCTGATTTATATGAGTTATGCAATTTAAAAAAAAAAACTCACCAAATATGACAAAAATACTCCAAAAAAAACATCACAATATATTTTCTAATCTATTTGATAAATTTGTAAACACAATAAAACTATTAACATAAACGCGGAAGTTTTTTTTTAGTTTTTAAACGAACACTAGTGCGGGGAAAGTGGACGGTCGATTTCTCCCGCGCCGGCAAACGACTGGCAACTCGATGCATCGGTTTGCGAAATCACCAACTAGTGTCGTATACGTTACGTATTCTTGTTTTAATAATTACACACTAAATAATCGATATTTTTAAATAAAAAGATGCAATTCTCAACGCTTTTCTAACAAGGATGAGGTTTTTATTTCTGCAATTTTTAGTGCATACATTCTACATCGATAAAAAATTAAACCCGATTGTAAATCGATGACATTTAGGAGCATAATACGAATCGAATCTCGTTAAAATTGGTACATCACTTATTCCTTATTCAAACGTTGTTCCAGTCTTTAAACAATTTGGTTGTTGGAATGTTTAATATTCTTTTCCCTATCGATATAAATGAAAAACAAGCCTCACTATATATCCACGTAAAACGCAACGATGGGTCTGTTTGTCGTCACAGATTGTGCAAGCGATTTGCACAATTCTGAGCGTGTGACATAACCTTTATGATTTGCGAGCTTAGCACAGATAATTCTAGTTAAAAATCAATCTTAAACTCCTAAAAACAAAATTTAGTTTACCTTGAAGCTAAACGGATATTTTAGAAGTCAGAAAGTTAGTTAATATAAGATTATATGGGTAATTGATTTTAAATTAGCTAACTTTGTTAAACAATATGATGTTCCCAGGATTACGATATTTCTGAAGTAACTTTTAACTGACAAAAAACCCAACAACATTGCGGAAAAATGGTATTAATTGTTTTGCGAAGATTAGAAAGTGATGCGTAGACAACGTAAGTCGGGTACAAATTGTATAGTCCCACTGGCGACAGTAAGTGTTCACATTATCCCGTTTATTCAGGGCTACTGTCTTATTATATTGGCCAAGTGTGAACCAGGCATTATGTAGGTATAAAGAAGGCTATTGAAACGCACACTGGCTACAATTTTTATATTCTTCGTTAGTCTATATGCAAATTTAGCACGGCTCATTTATGTCTTATTTAAAACTCTTCAAACGAATTACTATAAAATTATTAAATTAATCGATTACACAATTAATGGCGTAATTCGTATGAAGGTCGTTCTTATTTGGGGCTCATTTTTATACCTTTTTAAATTGCAGTTATGTACCACATTTTTTATTCGAGTCAGTGTTATACATTACTCTGTACAACTTAGTAACGCGCTTATTTTCTTGAATCCTTAATATCTAGTTCTCTGTCAACCTTTCGAACCTCAGGGCAATAGTGTATACTTATTTAACTAAGCTTTCACACGAGACTCCGTCTGCGTGGCGTTAAAAGAAAGGAAGTAGTGTCTGTTTTCTTCCAGAGTATGCATCTAAAAAAAAATTATCGAGATCCATTCAATGATTCGGGCTGTAAACTCAAACAAACAACCATCTATCAAAACTTTTGCATTTACAATACTATAGTAAGATTAGCTTTCGCCCGCGACTCCGTCGACGTGGAAATGTAAATCAAAAGTGAGTAGCCTATGCGTTCTTCCTGACCACCCTCTACGTCTATACCAAATTTCATCGAAATCCGTTGAGTCGTTTAGGCTACAAACTCTAACAAACATCCATCCATCAAAACTTTTGCATTTACGTTAATTTTAGTAAGATTATTTAGTTATATTTTGCATAGAATACAATTTTGTTACAAAAACACCATGACTCGACTTTGTTCCAGTTCAATGAACACGATACGTGGCTACAATTTTTTCTACAATTTAGTCATATTCAGCCAATCTAAAAGTCTATTTATTGAAATATAAAAGCTAACTAGCTAGTTATGTGGGAACTAGGCTTGTTCGAACTTGACCTAGAATAATTAAATACAACAATGGATGTAAATAATTACCGTATGATTTATCTTTACGGTCTATTCGAATCATTGTTTGTTATCAATGTTCTTCTTTTTAATATCTTATGTTTTTTATATTACAAAGAGCAAGCGGCCAGTTGAATACTCCGTAACAGCAAAGCGACCTCTACCCATAGACATCCTCAATTGCAATGAGTTGCCAACTTTTAATCGACAGAGAAAGAATTATTTAAGAAAATAATCAAATCTATTTTTCTTTCCCCCCCTTTCCGTTTAAAAAATGGATGGGAACGAAAATGGTATACTACTTCCATTTTACGTGTCTTCCCTGTGATCGTGGTGTCCTATTTCGTCGAGGTAAGGATACTAGAAGAATTATAAAAAAAATGCCACTTAAGGTACTCAAATGTGTAAATAATTTAAACGTTATTAAACAACAATTATTGATAATACTAACATTGACAAAGAATAAAAAAGAATCGGAGTTTTAGTAAAAAAATAACCAGGAAGTTACGTAAAACATTTTAATGCTTACAGCAATGCAAGATCGATAGATAAATGTCATTCCTGCTTTTAGAGTTTCTCAAATCATTTAAATAATAATAAATCGACACTGACCTTAGGAAATAATACAGTTGCTTAAATAGTAGTTAAAAATTGATAAGAAAAATAATCTTTCGACAACATTCCTGTACTTGAACTCTAGATCTATTTTGACATGGTTCTATCCCAATCAAATTGCGCGCGAAACGAAATAAAAACAGTGCCATCTTGTGACGTAGTAGAGTAACGACCAGGTTATGCTACAGTTACAGTAATACGTTACAATAAAAATAACAATTATCGTTTTAAAACTATTCTATTCCAATAAAATTACAATAAATGTACAGAATCCAATTATGAAATTGCTTGTTCACGCGCGAAGTTGTTATTCTTGCGTACCTAATTTAGGTTTAATTGTGTTGAGTACAAATTGACCAAATGGCAGTTACTATAAAAACTCAATCCTTTGTAATGTTCAATTTTCCCGGAATTACATTTTTGATAAAGAATTGAATCACAAAAACTAACCAGGAAGTATTGAGTTCATTTAACTCTAAAACTACTTCTGTATATGTACTGGTGGTTTATGCTTCGGTAAGGGTCGGATGACGAATATTATAGTGACGTAAAAAATACAACTAATTGACCCTCCATAAGGAATAAGGGCAAGTTGATGATGGTTGTTTTTTGCTTTAATAATTTGAAAAATAAAAGACATCTTGTCAGTAACAAAATTAAGGCAAATCTCGGCTATACCTAAATTGAAAACACACAATATGAATAGCAATGAAATCGAACTGAAAATATAGTAATAAATATAGACAGGCGTTTCACATTTCGTGCAATATTTTAGTATGCTTTCATTCTCCACTCGTACAAAAAAGTCGCTTTTCTCTTTATCGTTTTAAGCGAACAAGACCTTTAAACACATTTAATATCTGAGCTCCTCGTGTAAAGTTCAAAAGTCCGCGCATCGACCCTTTTTTTTTAATAAAAGCTAAATATTGTTGTGAAACTTGTCAGTTTCACAATAATGCCGGATATTCGTCACATTTTTCTTGTCTATGGTTGGTTATTTTCACTTTATTTTTGTACTGGTAACCCTAAATCGACGTGGAGAAAAAAACACAATTTTGTCTATTCGCCATTAAAATGGCGTCATCGAAGGAAACCTATTGTTTGTGTGGTCAGCCGTATAACATTGGACAGTTTATGATAGAATGTGATTGTTGCCGCGAGTGGTTTCACGGAAGGTAATATCGTAACGATATAAATTTTTCAATTAAACTCTCGTTGTAAGTGAGAAAAAGTGGTTTCAACCTGACATACACCTTGCTGTTCGGCCATCATATCAATCGTGATTGTTTTAGTGGAATTTACTATTATTTATTTCCCATAACTTAGTATACGATATCAATATATTGTCGGAATGACCTATTTGTTATATTTCATCAGTGTAATTTGAGTTCCGATGTTTTATTTTTTTGTTTACATGTGTGGTCACCATGGATTCTACAAAGAGACTGTTTTTATTTTGTCTTTTGCTCGTTTTTAAACACACCTATTAATATATTTAGTTTGTGGTTCACTGAATTATTCCATCAAACACAAATTTATATACTCTTCCCTAAATATATCTACATTTACTGCAACATTTCGCATACATGATTAATTTTGTAACGCAGTTTGTGTATAAAGTATGTGAATACTTATTTCCAGTTGTGTCGATGTGAAGATATATCATTCAGACGATATAGACAAGTACCATTGTCCAAAATGCGCCCAAACGTACGGACCATCCGTGTGTAAGTATTAAAAATGTTTACATACTCAATTTATGGTGCATAAAAAGGCAAGTTATGTGAATTGTAATTATTAAAAGTGATGTATATGAGGTTTTATATAACTGTACTTCTCCGGGGAAAGGTTAATTATAGATGTCAATTCTTATCACAATACTAAACACTTATTCATGTATAGTTTGAATTCTATAAATTGCTAGTATACATTAAATGGGGCAGAAATTATACTAGAAAATTATTGCATAATTTTATTTACAAGTAAAAACCATAAGGAAAAATAATTATCGTGTATATTTCTTAATTTACTATATTTGTAACAATATAAGCCTATTTTACCTTATTTGACAAATATCAATTGTATCTAATAATTTGTTTTTATTGAAATGGACAATTTCATTCTACATTAAGTTACATAAATCCAATGCAATGTGAAACCAATTGATTCTATACATTCATACTATAAAAAAGTAAAGAAAAAGAATCCATTTGTGCAAATCTATAAATAACATTTAAAATTGAAATTGTAAATTTTTAAATTTCAGTAAAAATACCAACAAACGACCACAGATCGGACCGTTACGAGTTAGGTGCGGAGTCCCGGCCGGCGCAGGTGGGATCTCCAGCGTGGGTGCGGGCGCTGGCTGCAAGGCCATTGCGCCCAGCACCTGCCGCATTACAACGGTTGAGGGGGCACCAGTTTACCGAGGAATTTATCAAAGATAATGGTAGGATTTTGAATCTAGCATATTGAGAGTTAAAAATTACATAACAAAAAAATATAGCCATAGGACTTTATTAAAATGTGAATTGTTCAAAAATATGCTGTGATTGCTGACATCCTACACAACAAAGAAGTCTCTATTAATTATTATACTACTTTGTCTAAAGACTCTGTCTGCGTGAAATTAAAAAATAATGTAGCCTATGTGTTCTTCCGGACTATTCTTTACATATATGCCAAATTTCACCGAGATCCATTCGGCTGTTTAGGCTACAAACTCTAACAAACATCCAACTTTGGCATTTATAATATTAGTAATATAAACACACTTTTCCCTTCTTTATTATTTTAAAAATATGTCCCATATTTTAGACTAGTATCGGTTTACAGGATTCACACGGCCAGTTATTTTCCATACACCTGAAGGTTTGGATATCAAAGTGCCCAATCCTGCAACTTTCACAGTCAGATCTGTGCTCAGGTTTTGTGGTGCACAACTAGAGGTAATTTTTTTTATTTTATACTAGCTGTTCCCGTGTGGCTTCATCCGCATTTGTCAAATTCTCATTTGCAAATGTCAAAATTGCTATTACCATAATAACCTTGTTATCTTAATGTTGGCAGTTTGTTTATGGTCCATTTTCCACATTAAGGTTTTTTCAATTTATCAACCCCCTAAGTTTAATAGTGTGAAAATATATAGCATAGCATGTCGTAAGTGTAGGGCTTTTTATTAAAGAATTATTCAAAAATATGCTGTGATAGCTCAAATCCTACGCCACGAAATAGTGTGTTTACGCTTTATTATAGTATAGATTGTTAAGCAGTTATTATATTAGTATGATTTAATATTTATATGTTTTTAGGTGGAGGTGATAGATGTAAGGAAACAAAGTACAATGCGCATGCCGCTGGGGGACTTTATAGACTACTTTGAAAGTCCTCCGGAGCATCGGGATGAGAAAGTACTCAATGTACTAAGTCTAGAGTTTTCTGAAACCAAGTGAGTATTTTAGAAATGATAATAGGAAATATCCCCTTTCTGAGCATCCCCACACACCATGTTCCTTTATACAGCCTAATGCTGTCAAATATGCTTTTCTTCTACTCATTCCTTATAAGAAAAGGGGAAACTACTTCTCTAGAAACTCCTTTAAAATGTGGAAAATGAACTCAATTCTCATAGTACGTATAAAAAGTACAATAAGAGCATTTGTCAGTGGGTGAAGTGGCGGGTTGCTTGCAGCCTGACCCCGCTGGTGGCGCCGCCGCGCACGGCGCGCTCGCTGGACTGGGCGGAGCGCGTGTGGCCGCCGGCGGAGCGCCCGCCGAAGCCCTGCGTGCAGAAGTACTGCCTCATGTCCGCGGCGGGCTCCTTCACAGACTTCCACATCGACTTCGGCGGCACCAGCGTCTGGTACCATGTGCTGCATGGACGGAAGGTGACAAACTCCTTCTAATTGTTTACTTGTTTAGTTACTATTATGTTATTTTTTGTATTTGTTATCCATTCATCTTTATTTGAATCATATCGAAATTATGACAATTTCGACATTTTAAATTATGTTAATTACGATATATTTTTGTAAAAGTGAATTAAAGACGGAGAAAAACAAAAAAAATACAATGCTCATATACATTTATTAATTATATTCAATCCATAACATAAGTGGTCCTTCGAGCCGAGAGAAATTTTCGAGTTTTTATTGTATTTTTCTTAATTTTTTTGTTTTTCTAACAGATATTCTACTTGATACCTCCTACATCAGCAAACCTGGCTCTCTACCAGCAGTGGACACCGAACAATCAGCAAAACGAAAGATTCTTTGGTGATGCGGTGAGTTTTTCTATTTCTAACTCAACTTATTGCTTATTTGTATGAAAGGACGGATTTTTATTTGCGAAAAACAAGGTAATTTTGTAAGTTGATCACTGCGAATTACTCTAATTGTACAAATTTGACATAACAATGTTTTATTATTTTAGATTTAATTGTGTTAATTTACAGGTTGAATGGTATGGTACAGCAGAAGTGTGCCCCGGAGAGACTCTGTTCATCCCCGCTGGATGGATCCATGCGGTGCTCACTCCTTGTGACTCTCTCGTCTTTGGAGGGAACTTCCTCCACTCTTATGCGGTGGAGATGCAACTACAGTGAGTACTTTAACTCTTATTGTGTCTCTTTCTAACTGCAGTGTATTTTGAAGGTTTTAATTGCAAAGATAGAAATTTTAGAATTTTTAATATCTTAGTGTAAACATGTTGTTTAAACATAGACAACACATCTACAGATATTTTTATTTATATGTATGAATCATTTAAGAAATATATAGACTATTGGACAACATTTCGTTACTGGTAACTTTGAAAGGTGAAATGTTAGTGGTAGTAAATGTTATAAAAAACATTTTACAAAATTGTAAGTTTCATATTTTGTTATAAAATAAACTAAAAAGTATCGCAAAATAAAACAGAAACATTTAGATTTTTTTAATGACACCCGTTGGCAATTTATTTCAATACTATTAATTACTTTGACATGGATTGGAGGACCTATTAGTGTTAGAGGATGAGATATATCTCAAGATCAAAAAAAACATGTACTTAACATTACACTCGGTCACAACTAGAAAACTAAATCTGAATCTAGGGAGAAAAGTAAATTTAAGAAAAAAACAAATAAAACAACTCCAGGCGAAGGTAGCCGCAGGCTAATGCTAGTATACATTATTATTGTGAGTGTATATTATGTGTGTGTATGTGCAGGGTGTACTCGCTGGAGAGCGGGGGTGCGGTGGAGGGTGCGGGGGTGGGGGCTGCGGGGCGGGGGCCGGAGGGCGAGCGGCGCGCGGAGACTCCGGCGGCGCTGCGCTACCCGCTGTTCGAGCAGATGCACTGGTATGCTGCAGCGCACTTCCTGGCGCTGCTGAGGAGACACAACGAGGAGTCGATGGTAACCACCTCACTATACCACTGGTCCCAGTACACATGGAACACGGGAATGATTTAACTAGGACACTGCGTGTTTCCGCGATTGTACTTTTTTCAAATTCTAGGGTTTCTTATGTATTTTTATATTGTAAGGGTAATGTCACACATGTATTAATAGGAGATATTTGTATTTTTGTATGTATTATAACTCAAAAGCTACAGGGCTGATTTCAAATTCTTTCACCATTACGAAGCTAAAACGTTTTTATTTTTAATTTCACACGGACAAAGTCGCAAGCAATATTAGTATAGATGTAATGCTGTCACATGTAAAATAATTCAACTATCCTTTCCAGGACGAGGAGTTCACTCCGAGCGAGGTGGGGTGGTCTGGCGGGGGTGGGGGCGCGGCGCCGGGCGCTCCGCCCCCCGCGCTGCTGCTGCGCGGCGCGCGCGTCCTCACCGCAGCCATTAAAGAGTGGCACTCTATGAAAGCTGTATGTATCATTTTTACTACTAATTGCAATAGTATGGATGGATGGATGTTATTCAAAATGGCTTAACAGATCTCTATGAAATTTGTCACAGTAGAACTCAATGTGTAAGAATTTATAGACTGTTTTGTAAGATTTTTATTAATTTGTAGCATTTGATACCTAAATAATAGTTTTTAGAGAGATTATGTTCTATTTAGTGTGCCATAGAATCTATTATAATGTTTTCTTTTAAGTAATTATAGAAAAAATGTAATTTTGTAGATATTCTATGTATAAAATATGTTTAAACCAAAGAATCTTGGTAATAGTAAATGTCGGGGTATTGGTTAAGAAAAAATTAAGATTAAAAAATTTATTTATATTCAAAGTAACATTTTTTTAATATAATATAGACGGATGCAGCGAAAAGAGACAATGTACCAAAGTGCCTTAACTCCGGACAACTTGTTAGAGAACTCTCTAAAGAGCTCAGGACATTGGAGAAGAGGACCATCAGCAATAACAAAGATAAGGTAAACTTACATATGTTGCCGTTAAATTGTTAATTTTGATACTTTTATCAGCCATTTTAGAAAATGACAGAAACGTAAAATTGTGCGTTATCGTGTATTCTTGAAGCAAAATGTGAAATATGATTGTTATTTGGACTAAATTACAGGTTTTATCTATATTAATATTATAATCAGGAAAGGTTTGTATTTTTGTATGTATTGAAATAACTCAAACACTACAGGACTGATTTAAAAAAATCTTTTACTATTAAAAAAACTATCGGAGAGTAATACAGGCATTTTTTTTATGTTTTCTAATTTCACGCGGACGTAGTCGCGAGCAAACAGCTAGTTAATTATATAATAAACCTTGTATCTATTTTTTATATCGGTTTTATAAGAAATTTATAAGTAATATATCTTTTATTCCAGGATTTTAAACCCAAAACTAATTCACCAAATAAAAATACAAAGAAACAACAATCTCAAAAGAAATCTATAAAATTAACATTACCAAAACCTATAATGCATATGGGACAAAATGGAGAAATAACGGAAGAAAAAGTTTATGCGGACAAATTTTATGTAGGCAATAAAGAGGTTGTTTTCGAAGAGCGATATGTGACAGATGTTAAATATAACGGTTTAACAGAAACTAAGTATATTATAGAAAATAAGGATATACCAGAGAATTATAATTATCAGAAATTTGAAGAACATAGTTATCATGATAATGGATATGTGGATAGAATAGACAAGAAGATAGTAAAAGTTAAAATGAGGTAAGTACAATTGATGAGAAATTTTGGATGGATGGACGTTACTATGTTACAAAACAGCTTGGAACGGATGATAGAACACAGTAAACTTACTAAGTTTTCTAAATTTCATACAGACAGCAGCAAAAGTTGTATTTTTTTAGATTTTGACAACTTTTTATGTCATTTCAAATAGTTGGAATAACTATAACTAATTTTTATATTGTTATGTTTTGATTCTAATCTAAAAACTAACTATTAACCTAAACTTTAGTTTCCATACTCAGAGTGTTTAATGGCACTTTAAAATTAGATTTAATATTACCCATATTAATAAATGTTACTTATCTCTAGCAGTAATTCCCCTTCATCGTCCCAAGAGGCCCCTCCTCCATACAGTCTGCCGGAGCACTCCATCCTCAAGTCCCACCTCATCCGGTCTGACCGCTCCTCGCTGAAGCCCCTGCAGCAGTGGACCATCTCCAAGAAGGATATCGGAGACTACCACGAGGAGCAGCTGCTGTTTACTAACGAAAACCTCCAGACTAATATCAGGATTGAGGGCCAGGATCTCAATTATGGACCAGGTTAGTTTTACTAAAATTATAAATGTGAAATTTTGGATGGATGGATAGCCTGTTGAACGCATCTTGAAGAATGTGATAGTCTGTATGGATATTTAGACTACTTAATTTTTTTTTAATTCTAAAGCTAGTTTATACCTAGATATGGATAAACTAGCTTTCGCCCGTGACTATGTATGAGTGGAATAAAAAAAAACAAAAGTAAGTAGGCCTATATGTTCTAACTCAACATCCTACGGCTATGCTTAATTTCATCGAGATCCATTCTGCCGTTTGTGTTTACAAACTCTAACAAACATCCATCCATCTATAATATTATTAAGAAAGTAAGATGGTAAAAATTTAAATGGATGGATTTTGTTAAATAGTTTTTTCCGTATGTTTTAATGGTTTGCGATGAAATTTGTTACAGATTATAATAAATATGTTATGTAACTGATTGAAGTAACTTGTGGTAAGGGTTTTTATGTTATTAGTATGGTTATATATCCTTATGTATTAAAGGTATGTACTCTGCGGAGGATATTCAACAAGACTACCAGTACTCTGAGGGGGCGAAGCCCGGCTCGTACCAGCCGGAGTTCGCGTACCAGGCGGAGCTGCCCTACGCCACGGAGTACCATCGGTACGACGACACCGTAGCTGTACCAGTACAGGTACCAAACAATGTACTATCTATACTAATATAAAGAGGAATTATTTGTATTTTTGTATGTAATACAATAAATTAAAAATTACTGGGGCGATTTCAATAATTCTTTCAACAATAGTTAGCTACGATATCAGTCGGTGACATAAGCTGTATTTGTTAGAATTTTTATTTCCTGCGGGCAAAGACGCGAAATAAGAATAGTCTTTCTTCCGACGTGCTAACTCAATGGTGATTGAATTGTTAAAGAAATTATATGCAGTTGTAAAAACAATTTGTAGATATTAGCGACCGTTCTTTCTATTTTCGATTTGTGGAAATTTGTGGTTTAATTTTTTGTTTAATTAAATACACCACCAATTTCCCTGATAGTACTTTTTAACGTATATTTCTTTAACAGACGGCGACGTATACGGTGCCGGCGGGCCAGGTGGTGGCGTACCAGACCACCACCCCGCTGCCCTCGTACGACGCCGCTATCGCACACCACTATGCTGCCACCACTTATGTAAGTTCTTTATTAAACCCTTTTTCCACTAACACTTCTGTTTTATCTAGCTTTCATCGAAATCCGTTCAGCAGTTTAGGCTACAAACTCCAACAAACATCCATCTAAACTTTTGTATTTACAATATAAGTATGATTGTTCCAGGTGACAGAAGCCCCCAAGACAGAGGTCCCAGCAACAGACACCCCCAGCGTGCGGCGCTCGGAGCGCGCGGTGCGGCGCCGCATCTCCAGCACATACGACTACGAGGACGGGGACCTCTTCATTGACGACGCGCCCGCGCCGCGCCGCCGCAAGCCGCCCGCCAAGCACAGGCAGCCCCCGCACGCGCAGGGTAACCACCCCACACACACAACACACACCCCCTATACGTCCCCACTAAGGGGCTCGAAGCCTACTCTACGAAAAGGTGTGACTAGGCCTCAGTAAACCACGCTGGCCCACTGCGGGTTAACTTCACACATATCTTTGAATTTCGTCTCCGATATGTGCATCACGATGTTTTCCTTCAACGTAAGAACGCCGGCTAATTTATAAATATCAAATTCGGAAAACGAAAATCACGTTATAGCGAGATTCGAATCCAAGACCTGGAGATCACAAGTCAAGTGCTTAAACCCCTGACCCACGGACGCTCAAGTAGGGCGTAGTTAAAAAATTCTCGTTTATATCCATTAAATACGGTTACCTACATGTTATTGTTAAAATAAGTGTAAAGTTATACCTTATTCAAACGGTATAAAGTTCAATTTTGTGCGATTTTACTCTGCTACTAAATATATATGGACGGAGTTTTGTTTACTCAAACTTTTGCGTGTATTACAAATGTATTTCAGTGTTGTTAATTTGTGTAATGTTTCCAGCAGTGAGCAGCAGCGGTTACCGCGGTGGTGGGGGTGGGGGTGGCGCGCGGCCCGCCCCCGCCAACGGCATAGAGTCTCTCATACAGGCCTCCGTGCTGGCGGAGGAGCCCGCACACGCCACGTCAGTATACAGAAAAAATATATAAAAATAGTTTTATTAATACTAAAATGCGAAAGTTTAGATAGATGTTTGAATTTGTAGTCTAAATTGCTGAACAGATGTAGAGAATAGTCTAAAAGAACTCATAGACTACCTATTTTTGTTTTTATTAAATCCACGCAAACGGAGTCGCCGGATAAAGCTAGTACTAATATAAAATAACATGTCTTAACATTAGGATTCAAAGTATGAAGTAGAAAGTCGTTTTGAAGGTTTTTAACCAAATTATTGGGTTTTATGTCTATACAAAGTTCTGTGTATATCTGTACTAGCTTTCGCCCGCGACTCCATTCGCGTGGGATTGAAAAAAACAAAAGTGAGTAACCTATGTATTCTTCCAGACTGTCCTCTACATCTGTGCCAAATTTTATCAAAATCGGTTCAGCCGTTTAGGCTACAAAGTCTAACAAACATCCATCCATCCATCTAAACTTTCACATTTATAATATTAGTATGATTATATCCTGCTTCTTAATAATAGTTGCCAAAGTTTGGATGTATGGATATTAGTTACCTAACTCTGGAACTCTTCAACGGATGTCGATGAAATTTGACAGAAATTTACATAGTCTAAAAGAACATATAGGATCCTTACTAATAGATATAAAAACTAATTGGAATAACCATAATGTCAGATATTTCCCTGGACTTAATCTAGATCAACTGGTAACGCCTATAGCTATAAATTAAAATCTAGGGTCACTAGGTATCGCGTATAAATCTAGGGTTTTTGTTTTTTTGTTTAATAATTATGTTTCTACAGTGAGGATGCAGCAGTAGCGGGTATGTTGAGTATAAGTGAGCGGTACGCGGCGCCCGCACGCACCTTCGGCTTGGCCAGCGACAGCCCGCATGCCGCCGCCCCTGCTGCGCCCGCGGCACCCGCCAGCAGGCTCGACAGGTGCTATATTACACTGTTACAGACATTGATATATTGTAATGTACGATAGATATTAGATTCTAATTAATATAAAAGAATAAATTCAACGGAATGTTAATACAAATACTTCAACTTTAAGTTACACAGTTACAGGATTTTAATTGAACTAAAAACTATCAAATTTACGTTTACTTTCAATAGATCAGTTTAAAATTAAATCATTAAAATGGAGAACATTAAATTTTCATTAAAATGAAGCATTACGTTTAATGATTTTCAATTTCATCATTAAAACTGGATTTTAATGATAGAATAATCAAATTACAAAATTTAATACAATACTAGAGTAATATTGGCTAGTTATTAATTGTGGTGTTATGTTGTCCAGCATGCCAGTGGCTGGCAGCAAGCGCGTGCGCAAGCCGACAGCAGTCAGCACGGAGGAGGAGTTCCCTGACGAGGAGGATGTCATCAAGGAGGTGCACCGAGATGAGGAGTATGGTGAGCATACATCACACTTCACATCCTCAAAAGAGGACAATAACATCATACTAATATTATAAATGCGAAAGTTTAAATGGATGGATGTTTGTTAGTTTGTAACCTAAACGACTGAACAGAGATCTGTTCAGTCGTTTAGGTTTAGGGTCATCGAGATCTATGAAATTTGGCATAGATGTAGATGATAGTCTGGAAGAACATTGCATTTTTTTTTAATTCCACGCGGATGAAGTCGTGGGCAAATGCATGTTTTATATAAGTCCTATGACAGTTGGAACGTAGTAATTGAAACCGGTTGTAACTGAGATTAAATGGATTTAATTCGATGTTAATTATTAGATTTTGGTTTTATAGACCTAGTTTTAACAATAAATAATGTTTTCCAGTATATCCGTCGCTGGAGATGAGTTCCGACGAGGAGGAGGAGTGGAGCTGCGCGCGGCGCCGCCACTCGCGCAGCAGGAACGACAGCAAGACCAGGACTGACAAGTATGTAGCTTGTCACTTGCTTCACACTCGATATAACGCTCGTTGCTATATAAATATAATAGAAATGTACTCAGATGGCAATTTATATTTTCTTGCGCAATAAATTGGAGTGTCTGTATGTATCAAAAGAAAAATGCTAGATTTCGGGAAGATGATGTATTCGCGGTCCTGATAACGAAAATCGCATTAAAAATTTGCTTGTCTGAAACGGCTGGTCCGATTCCAACCGGACTTTCACTAAATGGTAGCTGACAGACGGGCATATAGGCTACTTTTTATCTTAATATTGCGTGGACGAATTCGCGGGTAATAGCTATTTGTTAATATGTTTTTCAGGGACGAGGCGTGGTCCCCTCGCGCTCGTGTGGGGCGCGTGGCGCCGCGCAGTCGCGGGCCGGCGCGCCCCGCCGTGCGCCGCGAGTGCGTGCGCGCCGCGCTGCTGGCCGCCGCGCACCGCCACCCACACAACCACCCGCCCCCACAGGTACCTACACTGGCGTATTCATACGCATTCCCAACCGTCACCCTGTCCCCACGACGATGACAATAAAATTTCATCCATCCCACCTTTAAGTCCCACTATCACCAATAAGGTGACAAAAGCCGTTAAGAAATAAAATAAATTCCAATCGTCCCCTCGTCGTTAAACGTGGGACGGATGAAACTTTTTATTCTCATTTGTCGCCACGTGGGGATAGAGGGTGGTGACGGTTGGGAATAATCGTTATTTAAACAGTCGCTTATTGTGAATTTTTATTATTCCATCGTGTTGCAGAATGCGAAGCGCGCGGTGCTGGCGTGTAAGAGCAGAAGGCCGCCTGCGCCCGCGCAGCCCCCCGCCAAGACCAAGGCCGCAGGTACCGTCGCTACACCGCTCTCACCATACATTGCTCTCATTACATGACTACCTCACTATTCACTGACCTCACCGTACACCACTCTCACTATATACTGCTCTCACCATACAGCAACCTTACCATACACCGCTCTCACCATACCTCATTCTCACTATACACTGCTTTCACCGTACACCGTTCTACCCATACACTGCTCATCATTCACCAATTTCACCATACACCGACCTTACAATACACAGCTCTCACCATACACCGCTCCATACTAAGTATTGAAAAGTAATTTTTCATATGATTCTCATTATTGTATTTATTTTCAGATATAAGACTGAAAAAGGGTATGAAGACGGCGAAACAGCGCCTCGGCAAGATCCTGAAATTACACAAAATGATATATTAATGTGTCGTATAGCGTTGTAGGACTCTACTTAGAATTTATATATTTTGTATGTAAATGTATGTATTCACAAGGACCAATCTATGGTACACACGAAAAATACCTTTCTCTTGGAACAAATTATATATTTCTTGTGTTTACGACCCTTAGTTGAATATTACTTTGGAAAACTTAATTTGACTGTAACTTAAGTTACTGTTATATTAAAATTGAAAAGAAATTTAAATTTTATAATACGTCCAAGCTTTTCACTGTATATTTTCAAGGCAAAGACTCACATTTTTTTTAAAGTTTATGGCAACTATATTATAGTTTATTTTATTATATTAGCTTTATGTGGCTTGAAATTAATAATTGGAACGATCTGAATTAACATTACAGCTATTATAAGGTATTTAGGTAATTTGGCATTTTTATTAAATAAAAAAATAGATATATGAATGAAAAATTAAAAAAAAAGACATGTATTTTCAAACCCACCTCCGATATGTAAATATGAAAGAGGACAAATATATAAAGTTTCGCTTTAGTTTGGTAGTTTTTAAGTTTTTTTCTTTTGTACTGTTGTTTTTGTTGTTGTAAATAACTCTGAGTTCTGAATCCGCGGTTTTGTAATTTTTTTCGATTAAGGTGAGACCACATTGAAGTGATTATGAAATGTTTGAAATGCATTTTTTTTTGTATTGTATGAATTTTTTAACAATACTATTCTGTTTGCGTATAGGTGAGTTTTTTTGTTGTTAATTGTATTGAAAATTCTAAGCATAATGTACGTAGATTTCATATCAAGGTAAGAATAGTCCAAACAAATAGGTTTAACACCTTAATTAAATAGTATATTTAAAAATATTCATTTATTTGCTGTATTTTGTAAGGGTGAAGTTTTTTTGCTTGTATAAAATATCGGAAACATTTAAAACACGATATGTTTTCGATAGTGCAAACTCAATGTAATTAGATGCGGCTGGTCCGTGTCTTGATAGCTTGTTTTTTTGTTTAAATATATATAAAAGGTAATCCTGTTGATCCGGGATTTTAGTTTTCGGTATGTGGCAAACTTTTACGGTATATACCTCATTAACTAAAAATTATAGAATTTGTTTCCTTTTATATGAGCAATTTTGTGTTGTATTTAAATGTAAGATAGGAATTAAAGAAATAATGTAGAAAATAAGTACATTTTTTTGACATCGTTCGCTGTGGTGTGGTCTCACCCTAATGTTTTTTTGTATAATTTGCAGATATCGCTTCAGATTCAATAAACAGGGTGTATATTTTGTATTGTGATTCTTTATTTAGACGACGAATGCAAGAAATAAAATTAAGTTGTAATGTGACTATGTCTTTGTTTGGTAATTTTTGTTACCGAAATAACCTTTCCTTTTATCATGCTATCCAGAACAAAAAAGCTAATTCTAGGTTTCAAAAGTAAGTATTTAATTTTTTAAAACTAACATGTGAGTGGAACCGTCTTTTAATTTATACAGAACTAGCTGTTGTTCGCGACTTCGTCCGCGTTAAATAAAAAAATGAAGTAAGTAGTCTATGTGTTCTATTCTATTTCTTGTTTATGGCTCTCACTCGGCGGAATCTATGTGTTCTAGACTATCCTGTAAATCTATACTGAATTTCAGTTCTTTATACTGAAGTTCAGCTGTTTAGGCTACAAACTAACATCCATCTAAACTTTAATAAATAATAAATAAATAAAACTCTAGTAAGTTTAAAGTGTTTTTGTTTTATTATTTTAAATATATTAACAAAAACTATTCTTAACCAACTATCGTAACCGCCATGACTCGATTTGAACACATTACTACATTCAAATCGAATAATTCTCATTCTAAGAACATTGACCGCTTTCCGTTCTGCAAATGACAAAAAATCGATTACAGTTTTGGCGAACGGCATTGCTTAAGTTTTGTCGACAATTGATATTAGGACATATATCAAGGTTAATTAATTTTTTTTACACGTAAAAGGGGTTCTTTATAATAATTTTAAAACTAAGCACTCTATAAATTGTGAATTTGAATAAAAAAATGTCGCCAACATTAAAACAAAAACTCACATTTAATTAAATCGTTTTAAATTTCCTTCTAAAAAATGTTATTTTATTGCCGTATTCAAGAGGATTTTCTCTGATTTGAGGTCTATTTGTAAAACAGAATACCGACGTCTGTAACCACTGCTGATCAAACAATGAACTACGTAAACAATCAGAAAATGTTAACCTGAAACTACGTCACAATTGGCAACGTCTTACTACATACCAGGGAATAGGGTAACCAATTTTTACGGGATGAATTACTTATTTTATTAAAAAATTATTGCCTTTAATTTGATATTAGTAGAGTCTAGTATTAGTTGGAATGGCTACTATCACACCACGACCACATCAGACAGTCTTTTCCTTCCTAGCATTTTATAATAAAATAAACGAAAGATTGTTTAGATGTTAAACAATAGTTTTTTTCTCTCTAATGAGTAACATAGACTACATCTTTGTTATGTTAGCGAAATAATTGATCGTTTGCCACCTGCAAAAACTGCAACTTCAATGAGGAAATTCCAAGAAAATTAATTAGTTAACATTGTTGTACTAGTCCACGTAAAATGCGAATTGTTGCCAATGTGGTAGTACTCGCGGATATTGGTCAGTGGCCACCGTGTGGGGCAGTCGGTTTGTCGCGAATTTACCAATATCAGTAGCGAATTGTTTCCACTGCAGTCCTATCGATGTATTGGTGATAAAATAATACCAATCTTATCAAAGATTATGTAAGATTTCTTTCAGTCGGCTCAGTTTGTGCTGTAGTGTAACCGGATTATAAAATGGGGAAGAAAAAATGGATAACGCCGTTCAAAAAACAGGTATTTAAATTAATGTTTTAATTGTATTTGATTCAAAATACTTGTATTTTGTAAGATTATTGTGTCACAAAAAATATTAAATATAATTATGGTTAAAAAATTAGGGAATTTACGAAGTTTGTGTTAAAACACAAAAGTTAAATAGTATCTATTTTAAAATATCATACGTAATAAATAATAGTTTTATTAATGGTTTTTGTAATATATGTTTAGCAAAAAAAGCTACAATAAAGTAAGCGAGGATTCAAACCCGTAACTTATTTCGCAGTTAGTATAAACTTTTGGTATCTCAAATTTATCTAATTTAAACTTTCACTTGAAGTATTTTAGAATGTGAATTAACTATAAGGTCACGGAACGCCATTTTAATAGTCCAATTTCTGCATCGTGGGTTGTAAAAGCGATTTTGACTATCTTACTAATATTATAAATGCAAAAGTTTATGGTAGTCTGGAAGAAAACATAGTACTCACTTTTGTTTTATTTAATGCCATGCGGACGGAGTCGTGGGCAAAAGCTAGTAACCTATAAAGTAAAAGAGACTGTTTTAATATTCATAATAATGAGTAAATAAAAAAAAATGTAACAGTACTTCCTACATTAACACAAATGTTTTATCAAGACACATTTGATATCAGAACAATCAATTACTCGAATAGTCATTTTGTAAAATGTAATTCCATGAAGTGATCGCCCACGTGCGTATTCACATTGACGGACTAATGAAAGTATACCATCATACTAATGCGAAAGTTTAGATGGATGTTTGTTAGTTTGTAGCCTAAACTGCCGATCGAATTTCGTTGAAATTTGGTATAGATGCAGTGGATAGTCTGGAAGAACACATAGGCTACTCGCTTTTGTTTTCTTTTTTTATTCCACGCGAACAAAGTCGCCGACGAAAGCTAGTGTTATAATAAAGGTAAATATAACAAAACAAAGTTACCTATAATAATAATTTAATAACACATTCTAATGAACAGATACTAAAACATTTTTATTGCAACTTGTAGTCTGTTTCCATACAAAATAGTAGTGCTGATTCAAATGACCCTCAATTTTTTGCTTTTTAAGTGAAACCATTTCTGAAATTAATATTAAATGCAGGCTTTTTTATATTTCAAGATGCACGTGAAGGTTGCACTTGACTGTTAATTATGTAGTTTAAGTTAGAGATTATCCCATAGATTTGTTGCGGAAATGGTATATTATTCTGGTTCATTTTCCCTTACAATTACCATTTTATTAACGACTCTGTTATTTATATTTCAGTTTAGTTGTTATTGTATTAAGTTGCTACGAAAATTGTCTAAAGTCGAATTAAATACTCTGGAGTCTCAACATCTCTACGACTCTATAAAATGTACATTATTTTCTTTGTACATTGTTATTACGTTTTATAATAGCTTTCAACTAAGTCGTCGTAGAATTAATAAAAAAACACAAAGTAAGTAGATGTTCTAGACTATACTCTACATCTAATTTTATCGAGATCCGTTCAGTAGTTCAGGCAGCAAACTTAACCAAACATCCATGTAAACTTTCGCATTTGACAGTGGTAGTGCCCGCTTTAACACCTTAGCACGAATGGGCCAGCACGCCCGGTGCAATACCACGACCACACAGAAGACAGGCGTGAAATGGAAGCAATTCCGTGTTTCGTCTGATGAGTGTGGTGCCGGAGGCCTAATTTAAGTCCCTTTCTCTTTACCACCCTTTTCTTATAAGAAGAGGTTGGGAAGAGGAAGTGGATTTGACGGCGGAGGAGATGCATAGGAAGGGGAAATATCCTCTTTATTTGCGTCTCCTCCTCCGTCGTATAAGGGTAGGCAACGCATCTGCAATTGCGGATGTCTATGGGCAGCGGTCGCTTCGCCATTTTGGCGGTTTCATGCTTGCATGCCTTGTTATATAAAAAAAAAATTATAATTACAGTAACTATGATGAGATCACTGGTAATAACAACTAATACAAACGCATCAACGCGGTTTCTTTGATAACAATTCATTTTGATTAGCTTTAATTGTTAATTTGAAGTGACAATAAAAAGTTTAACGATCGCTCTCAGCCTAGTCCAGTCTTATATTATTAAAGTTTTTATAAGTAACATTGGTAAAAAAACAAAGTAAAACTAATAAAGTTGCCAAATACATAAACTAAGGCTATATAGAGCGTCGGTGGCTCAGTGGTTTAAACACTTGACTTGTAATCTACAGGTCTTGGGTTCGAATCTAGCCATGTACCAATGTGATTTTCGATTTTTCGAATTTTCATATGTACATAATATACCCGACGTTCTTACGGTGAAGGAAAACATCGTGATGCCTGCACATATCGGCGAAGAAATTCAAAGATATGTGTGAAGTCAACCAACCCGCAGTGAGCCAGCGTGGTTGACTATGGCCTAGGCACCCCTTATTAGGGTAGGCTCCGAGCCCCTCGGTGGGGACGTATAGTGAGCTGGTGATGATGTGATGATACAGATTAAAGCGAAAAGTCTTTGAACTTTGAACAATCGCACAACTGTTGTCCGATTGTCGATTATTTCGCAGTTAATTCAACTGTTCAGTCGCACAACTAATCGAGTAGTGTGCGTCCATATAAGTTTATAGAAAAAGCGAGAATAAACGCACTCTTAGAGGTTGGTTCTTTTCTTTCCATTACTTACATGCCAAACATTCACAAAAAAACTACGTTGACTCAACTCAACTCAACTCAACTCAACTCAACGTGTAAGTTGATGTTTTATCAAATTTACAATTGCCGCGTGTTTTTTTATCGGATAACAAATTGACGAGGTCATTTTAATCTGCATATTATTTTACGAATTTGTGGCATTCGGCTTGCGTCATTAACTAGGGCTGACACCTGTTCGCAGTTACATATTTGTGGAACAGATAACACGGGCTATACTAGATAGAACTTGCATAGAAATAGCAAATCTAAATTAAAAATTTAAACTATTTGTTAAACGTTTGGAAAGCCATCTTTTTGATAATAGCCCTTGAATAGAATATTTTATTTACATACAGTATATTATGTATGTATGTATTTTATATAATTTTACACAAAAAAAAATGTCAAAACTATCCTACACTCCACTACGACACGCTACATATGTTATTTGTAAATCTAACCAGCGCACCCGCGGACAAACCAATTATATGGTTTTTGCGGGGCCATATTTGTGCGCATTTTTAATTTGTTTTAAAGTAATATATTCAATAGTAAAATGTAGTGTCTTGTTTATTATACCAGTATTTTAGAAGTCAGGCGTCGAGAGTAGTCGTTTAATGGGTTATAACACCTTAATAATATAGTCGTATTTTTTGTCGCAAAAATATGAATTTACGTTTGATTGTTTGGCAACCCTAACATCTGACATCTGATAATTTTGATAGTAATGGCATCATGCTTCAATCGTCTGATAGTATAAGATATACAAATTGTTATTATCTTGACATGCGGAAGTGTTATGCACTTCTTTCATTTGTTATTAACGAATCATTTGATTTGAGAGAAGTGAATCTAAAAGCACACACCTTTGACTAAACCATAGTTTGTCTAAATAATATTAGTTTGACAATTTAGTACGGATGGGTTTTGTAAAATCAGGCATAAATCTTTTCGATTTTCAATCTTAAAGAAGATGGAATCCATATTCATAGTTATAACTTATGAATTCAAATAAAACACTGCAGAACCAATGAATAATGAGAGTAAATAAATATTTATTACTACTACAGCCGTACGTAATCGAATTAGATTTCGCTATTATTGTCATCGCTAAATTCTCTACACTATAATCAATACCAGAATTGTCCTCTAAATTAGTCAATAAGAAAATAATAATTTTAATTAAGTTCGATAAATATTTAAACCGAAAATTGATAGTTCATAATTGTTCACTGCGTGTTTATTTCAAAATTACAATACCTGTCTATTAAGTACGGCATTTTCCTTCATACAAATTTAACTCGATACTTCATATGCGTTATTTATCAAACTAATCTATATTATTTAAACAAACTATATGGCACAACTGTGCGATTGTCGATTGGCAGGCAATTCAACTGTTTAGTTGCACAACTAAGAATCGAGTAGCGCGCACCTCCATCTTACTAATATTATAAATGCGAAAGTTTAGATGGATGTTTGTTAGAGTTTGTAGCCTAAACGGCTGAACGGATTTCGATGAAATTTGGCATAGATGTAGAAGATAATCTGGAAGAACACATAAGCTATCCACTTTTGTTTTGTTTTTAATTCACGCGAACGGAGTCGCGGGCGAAAGTCAGCATAAGCATATAGAGAATCAAAGCGAGACTAAACAGTTGTGCGGTTGTTACACTATCGAAATGACCATAAAACTATATTATATTATCTAAGGAAACAGTTTCATGTTATCTTTAAGTAGTTACATTTATTATGATGAGCAATTGCCATAGTGCTTGTTAGCGGCACGCACATATGTCGTTAGTTTACACGTGTGTCGTATATTATATTACATTACTGTTTTTTTACATATAACATCCGCTTCGGAATCATTCGATGTTTCATTACAAGGTTATACAACGTTTGTTATAGCCAAATATGTCTATGCCAATAATGTTAGACGTTATAGCAGTCTGAAACACACTGGATATGTAAAACATGATTCAAATTCAAATAATTATAGACGTTTTGTAATAAAAGGCGAGAAAATAATCGACCGTTGAGTCGGAAATTGTAAAATAAATGTGTAAAGTATAAAAATACTCCCTAGACATAAGTCCCTACAATTTCTAGAGACACTCAAAGATATGTCAAAAACAACATTTCAGTTTTTCTTTAAAAAATTGGACTACATGTTGATAAACGTCTTGGGGATAAAAAGTCCTATTGGTTATCAGACGATCATCGGCTGGTGAAGCCTGTCATAAAGAGGAAAGATTTGTATATATTGAAATAACTTAAAATCTACTGGGTCGATTTCAAAAATTATTTCACCATTAAAAAGCTACGTTATCAGTGAGTAACTTGGCTATATCTTTTATTAATTTCACGCGGGTGAAGTCGCGATCAACAGCTTGTTTGTTATGAACTGTACCACTGTTAAAATGAAGTTGTTCTATGTTCGATATTCTAGTGTTTCGTGACGCTGGGCGTGTCACTAAATATGGCTGGTCACGGGCTGGTGATGGGCTTCGCGGCCATCCTCCTCCCGCAGCTGCGCCGACCTGACTCCATCATACCCATCGATGATACTTCAGGCTCATGGATAGGTCAGTATAAACAAAATAAAGCCCACAATATTGAAGTTAGAAGTGAAATTGTTCAGTTAGAAATGAACGTCTATAGCTATTGCGTCTTGAATTTGCTTGCTTTGCTCATGATATTTTCTTACAGTTTTTTTAAATTGTGAATTTATCTACTAATTAATCACTAAGTATAAATAACTAAAATTATCCTTTTTGAATTATGATGAGATTCTCTTTATAAATAAAATAAACATAACAAATTCCTTTGATATTTTCCTTGTTGAATGTCTACTATTTTTTATATACTTAGCTGAAATCTTTACGCCAACACTAGACGAAATGTTTATTTAATTTATCAGAGAATGACTTGCTTTTTCTAATTTCCAGCCTCAATTCTGGGTTTCGCACTGGTAGCCGGCAACTTCATCATCCCCACCATTATGGCTAAATACGGCCGAAAGACTGCCAACCTGGTGAGCATCGCACCCATGATTGTGGGCTGGTTCTGCATCATCACCGCAACAAACATCACCGCGCTACTCATCGCTAGGTTTCTCCAGGGACTCGCTATGGGGATGAGTGCTACTCTAGGACCTGTCCTTGTTGGGGAGTACACCAGTCCACGGAACAGAGGGGCATTTTTGACCACCATATCTTTGACAATCGCTACTGGTGTCCTTGTCGTCCACACTTTAGGATCTTACCTGGCATGGCAAACAGCAGCTCTTGTCTGTGCTTTCATAACCTTTGTGGATTTATTAATAGTTATTTACTCACCTGAGTCTCCAAGCTGGCTCGCTGACCAAGGACGGTATGAGGACAGTGAAAAAGTCTTTAGATGGCTGAGAGGAGAAAGCGAGGAAGAAGAATTGAAAAGGATGATAGAGACTAGCGTTATCGTGAGAGAATCTAAAGTTGACGCTAACGTATCACAATCTTTTACTTCTAAAGTTAGATCTCAAATCACTTACATTAGTACCACGGTAAAGAAGAAGGAGTTCTACAAACCGATATTCGTTATGATTCATATTTATACACTGGGACAATGGGCTGGTGCTAACATTCTCGCGGCTTACACTCTCGACATCTTCTCTCATGTCATAGGAAATGATGCCAACATTTCCTTACTAGTTATAACTCTGGATGCTCAGAGAATCATCTCGAACAGCATCGCTGTATATGTTATAAAAAAGATTAGACGAAGAACGATGTTGTTTGTAACTGTTGGATTGAATCTGTTCGCGTTTATCGCTACTGCTGGATACACTTACGCGAAGGGTCATAACATGTTGCCTTATGATCATCCTTTTATTGGCATCTTATTAATACACATTCATATGTTTACTATCGCAACAGGAACTGTTCCCCTTCCGTTTATTATAGCAGGGGAAGTATTTCCTTTGGAATATAGAAGTCTCGCTGGAGGGTTCAGTGTATTATTCCTTTCATCAAATCTGTTCATCACAGTGAAGACTGTTCCTTATCTCTTCAAGAACTTTGGTATACATGGAGCGTATTTAATTTACTCCGTCGTAGTTGGATACTGTCTGGTGATAGCCTGGTGGTTCCTCCCAGAGACGAAAGACCGAACGTTGCAAGAAATAGAAGACGAGTTTAGAGGAAGACCGATGTCTCCAGAAGAATTGAAGTCGACGCAATCGCTGACTTCTTTGAAATATATGAACAAAGACAGAAGATGTAGTAGTCCAGTTGTCTAAAAGATTAAGTCACAATATTAATTGTAAATAGTTTAATAGCATAATTTCATGCAAGAATATTATTATTAATAAGGTTAATAATATTATTATTAACAAGGTTAATACAAGAATATAATTAATTACAATTGAAAATAGTGAGACGATGGTGATGAAAATCTTGCAGACGTCTATTATATTCAGCGACATGACAAATAATATCCATGAAAAGTTAATTATTATTTCACTTTTTAATACTCAACACATTAATTAAACATTTTATATACACAATGGCTCCTATGTAAACTATCGTATGTTTAAAATACATATTTTGCAAGACGTTAAACAATTCATTCGGACGCATCAAACTTGACAATAACTAGACAATTATTTACACTTATTTTTTCTAACTTTACTTTCAAATTTACACAGAAATTAGTATTACTATTATTAATTCCCTTATTATTCAAGTTCTATTGTGATATATTTACTACATTTTATTTAATAATCATTTTTTTGTATATTTAACTGTGAATATGAAATAGTAAGTATTAAAACGTAGATAAACAACCTATAGATAGAGTCATATACTCGTATGTTTAATTGAGAGTCGAATAAAATGTCATTTTGTGCTGTAAATGACAAAACAAATGATTGCTACACGCCTCATATGTACAATCGCGGCAATTCGAGGTGATCCACGACAGGAATAATTGCTTTGTTTACTGCAACGAGACAAACTCTGCCTCTTACAAATAACTAATTAGTAGTATTTTTTTTATAATATAAGGTGGCAAACGAGCAGGGGGCCACCTGAATCCACCGAAATGGACAGCGACCGCTGCCCATAGACCTATTCGTGAGATGTTAAAGCGGGCTCTACCACTGTTAAAGTAAGTGCAAAGAAAGGGATAATAGTAAAAAGAAACTAGACGTATATCACTAATCAACTTTTTTTCGTATATTTGTAAGCTGCGTTATATATTTATGTTTCGCGTCTTGTTTCTAAATGTTTAAATAATTGTAACTTTTGAGGCACACTGACAGTTTCCCCGATTGTACCTATTTATAGGTTATATCTATGTGCTTGATATTACAAGTGTTCATTGTTCATTATTAGTGACATTTGCTCATTTTGTATTTTTGTTACAAAATGTATGGTACAATTTCTAGCCTTTTACAATTGCTCCGCTTCCTTTCGAGGTCGGGTTCAAAGAGAACGGAAGCGTCGCCATAGATTAGCTTATAAGATTGTCACAGAGTAAAAAATGTTGGAGTTAGACATAAATGTCTCTGGTTGGAACAATAAGGTTATGGAACAAATTATTATAAGTCTAATTATGTAATCGAATTTAATTAAAATGTAATGATTATTAAATATTTAATTATTATTTGTAATTTTATTTAAAAATCCTTTATTAGAGTTCTATGTCAGAAATTATTAAAGACCCATTTTACTCTCGAAAACTTTCATATTACTGTTTTGGAAACAGATCCAAAGTGTTAAGAAAATGTGTGTTGTTACTAAGAATTACGAATAAATTCCTATTTGACTGTTTGCCAAATTATGCTCGTGATACGCTTCACAGCCAATGTAATACTGACACGTGCCTTTACGTAAATAAATCGAGTAAAATTCCATGATATGAGTCATCATTGCTCCCCATGAATAAACGTCCCCTCTTGGGGCTTGGAGCCTAGTCTAAGTTATGGGTTACGAGGTCATAGTCAAAACTGGCCCTGCGGGTTGACTTTACAAATATCTTTAAATGTCTTCGCAGATATGTGCAGACATCACGATGTCTTCCTTCACTGTAAGAACGAATGAATAACGAATGTTATTTTAAAATATTGGTAGTAGTGGTAATGTTCGCATCAAGCGTACCAAATTTAGTCCCCTTTCCTTTCTACACTTTTCCTTATAAGAAGGATTGGAACGTGGACTTGGCGCTGGAAAAGAGGTATAGGAAGTGGAAATATCCTCTTTATGCCCGGCTCCTTCTCCGTCGATTAAAGGTAGGCAAAGCATCCGTTATTGTGAATGTCTATGGGCAGAGGTCACTTCGTCATTTTTCGGATTCAGGTGGCCGCTTGTTCATTTGTTTATGATATAAAAAAGCGTTTCGTTGCTCTTATCACAGTGAGGACTCACCCTAAGGTGGAAATCTGGCATTTCATACGCAATGTTATTTACCAAATCGTAAATTTTCTTTAATACAAGTATATTATTTTTTTTATTTAACCAGCCACCGGCTAGACTTTACTTTAAATACATTTATTTGTGTCGTAATAAGCTTAGTTTATCTGAGAACACTATTTGATTACAAATCCTACGCACTGCGAAATCTCTGTTACATTAAACCATCCCATTATTATGTTATTATGATAAAATTTATGAACAAAACTAAGATAACTAGACGAAATAATGTAGCTTACATATCTTAAAGGAATCGCATAATAAATGGGTAGGCAGAGATGGTGATTATAGAAACAAAAACGAAAATAACTTGATTTAGAAAACCACTCAGTCTTTATAATAGACACTTTCGAAGTAAGCAGCAGTAAGTAGACAAAATATTTATAAGGGTCAGAGACGAGAGTTCTGTAATTTGTTGGAGACACAAACTTTGAAGATCGAACAACGAGGAGCTGAGATATCAGGTAACATGAATAAAAAAAACAAAACAAGCGTTAAGTCACGTGATTATCATGTACCTGTCCTTTTCCAATGTACGTTGTTTTCCATATGTCTCTATCAGTCGTTATATTTATACCCTTCTTACGCATATCCTCTTTCACAAAATCCATACTTTCTTCCTACCTCTATTTTTCTTCACATGATATGCAATATAATTTGTTACCAATTAATGAAAGAGATTATTTTATGTCGATATACAAATATATAAAAGATAAGGTAAGCCTTAACAAGATGTGCGAATAAACCGACTAATCCGATATTTTGCTATCAAATTGTTCCGACAGCGACGAACAGTTTTCTTCTAACATTCGAGGAGTGAACTTATGTGAGAAATGTTACCAGTTCTTAAACAGGTAATAATTTTTTTAATTGTTTAACAATAGTGTTTCTTGTGTGTGTGAATACTGAAATTATATGTCAATTTTATCAGAGTTTAAACCCTTAGTTCGATAGTCCATATGATGAACAACTAAAAAAAATTACCTAAGTTTATAGAAGAATACGTGAGATTTTGATTTTAATGTGTTGTTTAATTTTTAATACTTTTTTGCTACAAAAAACTCAGTCGAATGAAGGGTTCAAAAGACTTATGAACATGTTTTAAATTACGTCTGGGCAGATTGTCTTAAATGACCTGACTTGAAGTCGAAGACGGACAGGCTTTGTCATATCTCCCAAAAGCACAGTTTAAAACGTCAAAAAAGATCTAAAAGCTTATCTTAGAAGACCTAAGGTCCTAGACTTAAACCTATAGGTATTTCTCTAGAAGACCAGTTTTGAACAACAGATGAAAGATACTATATATTACCAGTAATAAATCTTACTAATGTTATAAATGCGAAAGTTTGGATGGATGGATGTTTGTTAGAATTCGTAGCCTAAACTGCTGAACGGATCTCGATGATTGGTATAGATGTAGAGGCCTGGAAGAACATGTAGGCTACTTTTGATTTTTCTAATTTCCCGTAGTCGGATTCGCGGGCAAAAGCTATATAATAGAGTACAAAGGTTTTGCAACCTGTTTCAGACATGGACAGTGTCAGCAATCCTACTGAACATGCTCGCTCAGGGCATGCTGTTAAGTTACACGAGCAGTCTGCTGCCGGCGTTACGAGCTCCGGACTCCGATATTAAGATAGACCTCAACACAGCATCCTGGTTATGTAAGTAATATGACAATGAAATAATGAAAAGACCATAAGTTCTGCAACAGTAAGAAAGGGCGCACACCTTTGACTAAAGTATGGCACTGTTGTGTGATTGTCGATTGTTTCTCAGCCAATTCAACTGTTTAGTTGCACAACTAACAATCTGCATTTAAGCTTATAGGAATCAAAACGAGACTAAACAATTGTGCGATAGTTTAGTTTTAAGAATTTATTTAAAACACTAATGCTTTCAGGAGTAAGTTGCTTTTTATTAATTGTATATATTTAGAATCGAGTAAAAAAAAATGTTTCTTAAATAAAACAATAGGTGAATTAATATTTGTTCCTTTCAGCGTCGTGTGTTGGACTATCTGGAATCCCTGGCTTCTTTATATCAGCATTTCTGATGAATTGGAGAGGACGGAAGCAAGCGCATGCTATAGTTCTAATACCTGGCCTTATAGGCTGGTTAATTATGTACTTTGCTAATAACGTCACAACATTAGCGATCGGCAGGGTTCTAGGTGGATTCACCGCAGGTGCTACAGTTTCCTTAGGAGCTGTAGTTATAGGAGAATATACGTCTCCTAATAACAGGGGAACGTTTTTAAATTTAAAAACTGCTAGTGTTTGTTTAGGTGGTTTAGTAATCCACATTCTAGGAACGTTTTATCATTGGAGAACCGTAGCACTGATGGCTATGATTCCTTATTCTATTTCCTTAGCTATAATCTGCACTTGGCCAGAAAGTCCAGCTTGGTTGGCGTCGAAAAAGAAATACGAAAGCAGTGAAAAGGCATTCTATTGGCTAAGGGGTGATAGTGAAGAATCAAGAAAAGAATTACACGAACTAATACAATCACAGAAAGAGAAGCCAGTGGCTACAAAAAAGATGACAGTGAGAGATAATTTAAGGGAGATTTTGTTGAAATTCACAAAGAAAGATTTCATCAAACCGTTGAACATAATTATTATTAGTGGGATACTTATTGAAGCTTGCGGTCGACATGTTTTTCCGGCGTACGCGTCACAGATTATTTCAGAAGTGACAGGCGATACTTCCCAATCGTTCTATTATACTTTGGCAATAGATATAATAATTACTGGAAGCGCTACTTTCTCATCTGTATTAGTAAAAATTTATAAACGCCGTACATTATTATTTACATCTGGTTTTTCTGCTTTATTCGTATTAATATGCGTTTGTACATATCTTTATCTTCAATCTAAGGATGTAATATCTAGAGGTAATTCTATAATTCCTATAGCTTTGTTTGTTATATATTTTGTAACGGTTAATTTAGGTTGTACTGCGATACCTTTGTCTTTGTATGGAGAAGTGTGGCCACTGTCACATAGGGACGCGGGCACGGCTATTTCAGGTCTTGTGTTATCTCTTGCAGTTCTCATTGGATTGCAAGTGACACCTCATTTGTTAGAAAGCATCAAAGTTTACGGAACTTTTGCTGTTTTCGGTTCAGTAATGGGTTTGAGTCTAGTGATATTCTATTTCATTTTACCAGAGACGAAAGATAGAACACTGCAAGAGATTGAGGAGTACTTTACCTATGGCAGATATAGGGATGAACTTAATTCAAAAGAGGCTAAAATGGTCAATGAGAAATTGTTGAAATTTTCAGATTCCGATAAACATAAAAATAACGACAAGGATATAGAATCGAAATTGTAAATAATAATGAGAATACGAATACAATTTAATTGTTATAAACAATAAGCCCGATTGATAAAAAACATATAGAAATCTGCAAAAGGAATTAGGACACTTTAGTGTTATCTACGAGTATATCTCGAAATTCGACTGCTGCGACATTTGCATTAGAAATTATTGTTTTTTTTTAACGCACAATAGTAACGTTACATTTGGTCGTATCTTCAAAATATTGTGTAGTTATCGACGTTACATGGTGTAACATTCGCTCATTGCTCGTTACTACTCACTGATTACAATGCCCGCCATGTAATACATTATATCGTGTATCATCGGCGTTTCAAGAAAACGGACTATCGACAGTTCTAGTCTATAAAAATATGCGAAGAAATCGTATGAACGTTTTCATAATAAAAAAGTTAAACCTTGTAATAGTTTATTTTATCTGAAGAAGGAATACTGATAGATAAATACAAGGATATTTTAGTAATCTGTGATTGAAAGTGATGTAATCTAATAAAATAATTGTAATTATAGGTTTATTGTAGATATAAAAATATCGATACTTAATTTTGTTTTATTTAACACGACACACTGATTTCATTTTCTTTTGTTGTTGAAAACTATGAGATAAAGTAATATTGTAAAAGAAGAGTATCTAATAGATTATTGTCATTATCACCAACCTCACTATATGTCCCCACTGAGGGGCTCGGTCCCTACACTAAGTAAATGACTAGGTCATAGTCAACTGGCATTGCGGCTTGACTTCACACATATCTTTGAATTTCTTCACCGATTGTAGCATCACGATGTTTTCCTTTGCCGTAAAAATGTCGGTTAAATTATGTACATATGAAATTCGAAAATCACATTACAGCGGGATTCGAACTCAAGACTTGTAGATTACAAGTGAAGTGCTTACCACTGTAAAAAAATTATCATCAGATATATTTTCCACATGTATTTGAAAGCCTTACGTATATCACTGCATACCTCGGCTGACACAGACATGAAAGTAATAATAATTGTACAATATAGACATAACAGTTACAATAAGGTAGGTTTACTATTTTCAAGGAATTATTTCATTACTTTTTAGTGTACTGTCTTTTTTTTTGAGAATATTCCGTTTTTAGTGTATTTTGTTTGGAAGTCGGTTTTGTTTTTTTTATTAAAAAGTTTTGCAGTTTTAGCGTTAGTGGCATGTTATTTTTAATTGAGGGTTTGAATTGTTACCACGTAGTATGAGAAGTGTTTTTATTTATTATTTACTTTTAATTTGAACGACTCAGCCATTTTTATGACCTTTTTAATCGTAAATATCGGTTGTTCACGTCGAGATAAAACATATTTACAGCTTAATATAGTTATGTTATTAAAAATTTTCAATCTTACTAATATAAATACGAAAGTTTTGATGAATGGATGTGTGTTAGAGTTTGTAGTCTAAACGGCTGAACGGATTTCTATGAAATTTGGCATATAACCGTGGTAGTGCCCGCTTTAACATCTTAGCACGAATGGGCCGAAACAACCGGTGTAATATCGCGACCACACAGAAGACAGAATAACTTTTCTTTTTTTAATTCCACGCGGACGGAGTCGCGGGCAAAAGCTAGTACAAATATAATTTAATTGCTAAAAATATAAACATTCGATAACATTTGTTTCCGTGCGATTATTTACTTATTGCGTTTTTATCAATAAAATTTTGCGGCAATTCAATCCGAGGACATAGTATTGCCCTTGTTAAGACGGGCATAGTATTGTACTATTATCTTGTCAGGGCACATTCGATATCGTTATAACTTCGTGGATAGTGTTATTTTCAGCCGACTCTTGACAAATTGCAATTGTTTGCGTATGCAAGTTAACTTTTTTTATACATTTTTTATTTATAAGCTTACAAATTAACAAGCAGCCAACTGAATTCGTTGAAATAGCGAAGTTACCATAACATTCGTCGTTACAGATGCGTTGCTTTTCAATCGATGGAGGAAAGGACGCGCAGAAAGATTTCCTCTTCCTAAGCTTCTCCTGTGAAAACTCGCTTTCCCTTCCCGTCCTTTCCATAAAAGAAACCCATTTTCTTTTCAACTCGCTGTAAATTAGGTTAGCTGTAGAATAGTCTCGAAGACCACATAAGCAGTTACTAAGTTTTTTAAAGTAATTAAATAAAATATAAGTACAATAAGTTTTCATAAGAAACGTAAAATAATCTTAATTTAATATTTACATACGGATCTCATTTATCAAAAGCTTAAGTGTACTTAGTTAAATCTTATAACACGGGGTCGTAAACATTTTTTATATAATCCAAAGTTTTTTATCTACAGAACTAACAATTGTCGCGTCATACCAACTTGTCAGTCTATTATTTAAATACGTAATTTATTTAGTTAAGCCTAGCTTTCGCCCGCGACTACGTCCGCGTGGAATTAAAAAAAAAACAAAAGTGAGTAGTATATGTGTTCTTCCAGCCTATCCTCTGCGCCTATGCCAAATGTCATCGAGATCCGTTCAGCCGTTTAGGCTGCAAACTCTAACAAACATTCAGCCATCTAAACTTCGCATTTATAATATTAGTAAAATTATCATTGTTACATCTATACTAATATAATAAAGTAAAAACACACACACACACACGTAAACACACACTACTTCGTGATGTAGGATGTCAGCAATCACAGCATATTTTTGAATAATCCTTTCTTTACGACGCCTTACACTTACGACATGCTTTAGGCTATATATTTTCACGCTATTAAACTAAGGGGATAAATAAATTGAAAACAAAAGTTCATGTGGGAAAGGGACCATAAACTACAAGCTGCCAACATTAAGGAAGCAGGGTTATTATGGAAACGGTAATTTTTATATTTGCAATTAAGCATTTGACAAATTACGTAAACAATAAAATAAAGTTTTGTAATTTCATGCGGATGAAGCCGCACGGGAACAGCTACTGTTAATTATACTTCCAGGAAGATTTAAAAAACATCTATAATTATGCATTTATTAAAATGTTTATTTGTAAAAAGTCTTATTAGAAAGTGACTTCCTCTTTCACTATTTAATTAAATATTTTTTTTGACAAAACAGACTTTAGTAACATGGAAATAAAGTTTTATTTAAGAAATAATTAATATTTATCTTATAAACATTTTATTGGTAGGTTTTTAACTAGTTATATGACAAAAGCCAATCATTTAAATAAACGTTCAGTACAAATATGTCTTGACGCAAACGCCATCTATTTTGTAAGGAAGGTAAACCTTGACAATGCTTCATTGTTTCGCAATTTAAACAACCGTAGTGATGTTTTCAAAATTTTCTGTACACACTCTTATCGATACTTTTTGTTTTATTATCGATTAAATAACTAAGAAAATTCTTTCCCCGCACGCTGACATTTTAATAGTGAGATATTCAGTAACAGATAAACAATATTGTATTACTTATGACTCTCGGAGACTTGTTCAATATAAAATATTACCTATTACAAAAATATTTCACGTCACTATACTAAGTCCTTGTGCCGGACAAATTACTACGTATTAAATAAAAAAATATATGTTTTATGTAATACTACCAAATGTTGTACATCGATGTATTTATGAAATTGAACTAATTAACTTTTGTAAATAAAAGTGTTTCTTCATTGTTTCAACGTTATTATTTAATCTTTGTTATAAATCGCATTTCAAATTAATCGTTACAAATAAATAGTATTTAATAGAAGTTTTGTTATCGATATTACTCGAACATCACTATTTCCGCACGCAATCTGAGTACGTCAGTAGTATGTTGTGAGTCGCCAGGGTTGTGCGTGCAATGACGAATCTGTTTTAAAGTACATTTGCACTATTATAAGATATATAAACTGTGGTGAAGAAATGTGTAATGTGAAATGGGTATAAAATTAACACCTTTCGTTAAACAAGTAAGTTTCAATCTTGTTGTTTTTTAATCTGTAATTTAATTCGTAAAATTAATTGATTAAAGAACATCGATTTACATTTGTTTCGTGTTAATGCATTATTATTTTGGTTTGTTAGGCGCCAATCTTATAAGAAACCATACTATCTATAAACTATAGTAAATGCATTTAAAAACAAATTTGAACAAGCAAAACAACAGAACAAAAATGTTTGCTTTGAGAATGCTTTGACATAATTATAATTAAAAGAAAGTTCAAAAGGTTCTTGGAATATCAAATTATTTGAAACAAATATGCTGTTTGATTTTAAATTATATTACTACGTCATTTTCTTAGAATTATGGTTTCCTTTTGACCTAGAACTAGAGTTGAGAGTAAACTGTAAAAACTGTATTTTGAATGATCTAAATTAATATAAAACGTGGTTTTAACGAATATTTCATCAGTAAATTTTGTTACTAATTTGTATGCAACTAGATAACTACAAATTCTTTTTAGGAAATAACAAACGAAGTCGTTGATTAAAGCATTAAAATACGTTAAACTGACGCACTAAGAGACGTTTAATTATACAACTTTAAACTGTCGTGGTTTTTACAAATATGATGTTCGTAAGATACGGAATATCGGGAGCTAACAATTCAATCGTGGTAAGAAACCCGTATCCTACGAACATTATAGACGTCTAATTGTTACGCTAAGTGTAGATTTATCACAGCTGAATACTTTATGACTATCTTACTAGGAGCTAGCTTTTGCCCGTGGCTTGATCCGCGCGCTTTTTATATAAAAAAAGTAAAAAGCCTAAGGGTTCTTACAAACTGTAATCTACGTGTATGCCTGATTTGTAATATTAGTAAGATTAGAGTAAGTTAATTCTGAATTCATAGATTTTGCACAAAGTTGTACATAAAAGTAAGTACAAAGTTATAGAAACAATGTGCGAATTGTGACGAGGTACAGTTTCTCTGTGGCCTACATCCCGGTCACTGACCGAATACTATTTGACCAATGACGTCATCTGACCTGGAAATGCCTTTGTTCTGCTATTGTGCTGTCGAAAGCTTTGGTTCCCAGCCAGTGGTTAAGAACCATCAATGGTTTTCAAGAGCCTAAATATGGTCCGCGATTTTTAACGTCAAGCAAGAAGGACGGTACGCGATACGGCTCTGCAAAGACAATAAATCTACTATCCAATCCTAGTAGGAAACATCTAGATATCCTTATCAATAAAATTAGCATAACATATGTGCACTGCCTGTTTATGTTTTAAATAAAAAAACACTTTTAATCGAGCAAAGAAACATGTATTGCGTAATATTTAGAGAAAAAAGACAATGAAAAAAGTTTGACATTTCTCATTTTAAAATTTGATTTCTTCTTTTTCGCAAATGGCATAAATGCCATTATTAGGTTAAAACCTAAAACTATAGAAACTTCTTCGACAATGCCTTAAAGTAAAACAATTTTAGGTGACTTTCATTTTTTACATAGTACAACAAGAATGATATAAAAGCGGTCCCTGATCATGGAAAAATTGGGAACCCTTGATTTTTCCTCTGAAAGCCGTCTCTTAACCTTTAAATAATAAAGATTAATATACGTTTGTTTCTATTTCGTCCATGGTAATCCAGATATCGTCAACAATCTATAAATAGGTCGAAATGTAAACTCGACCTACTTTTGTGTTTGTATACGAACAGAAATGACCTCGTTATTATCTATTATGTTATCGATTGATTATGAACCTTGTCCATTTGAAGTACATTTATAAGGTCATATCTCACCACTAAGGGCTACCCTAAGTTAGGGATGCTATAGTTACTTTACTTTAAAACTAAATGTAATAATATAAATAAAAATATTTTAAACAGTGGTAGAGCCCGCTTTAACATCTTCGCACGAATGGGTCGGCTCGCCCCCAGTAATACCACGACCACACAGAAAACAGGCGTAAAGTGGAAGCGATTCCGCGTTTCGTCTGATGAGTGTGGTGCCGGAGGCCCAATTTTAGTCCCTTATCCGTCCCACCTTTTTCTTTAAGAGAAGGATGGATGGGAAAGTGGATTTGACGGTGGAGGAGACGCATAGGATGGGGAAAGATCCTTTTTATGTGCTTCTCCTCCCTCGTCGATTTAGGGTAGGCAACGCATCTACAATTACGGATGTCTATGGGCAGCGGTCGCTTTGCCATTTTTGCGGATTTAGGTGGCTGCTTGCTCGTTTGCCACTTTTTTGTATAAAAAAAATATATATTTTTATAAGATACGAGTGTTCAGGAAATCTTTGATATTGAAACAGAAAATTGGCAAGCAGGAATAATGTTTAGAATTAATTTTATACTGCTTACGAAATAATCTATACTAATAATATAAAGAGGAAAGATTTGTATTTTTGTATGTATCGAAATAACTCAAAATTTTTGGGCCGAATAAAAATTATTTCTTCGTTAGAAAAGTAATTTATCTGTAAGTAACATAGGCTATATATATTTTTTTTAATTTGACACGAACGAAGTCGCACGCAACATCTAGTAAAATATGTTGTAATAAAAATGATGATCTTTGTTCGTAGTTGTTTCTAAAAATCAAGAAATTTATTGGTTATTTAAAAAAAAACTACAATTTATTGGTAATTATAATAATAGAGATTGTAGCGGGGGGTGCGGGGCGAGCGTTACGTGGGCGATCACCGCTTACATAAATGACCCAACTTAGGTGAGGCGCAGTTATGCAAGGCGAGTTAATGCTTTTCCGAGGACCCTTGAGTGTTCAAGCAATGGTTGAAGCACCAAGAGTGCCTAGCGTAAGCACACCACGAGTAACCAAGCACACCAAGCTCGTTACGAGCTCCCTTCAAGCTCGTCACGGCGGCCGAGGTCACGAAACCATCTATGTACATTGATAGCGGCATGTAAGTGAACTATGGCGCCATCTAGTGACAAGCGGCGTAATTGTTCAGTTGCATCAATGCATTATGGCGCCGCATGCACGATTTTACTACTCGGCATACGATGGCGCGAGTAGTCTTAATTTATCTTGTTACAAGATATTAAAATTATATTTTATGACTGACAACTCTAACAAATTACGTAAAGACATCCAATTAACTCTTCGTGCTATATAATTTCGTAAACTTGTATTTTTAAGACATCAATAGTTTTTTTTTACCGACAGATGGCCTTGTAGTCGAGGTCAAGCGGGGTTTTTGTGTTGTGATCCCATATGCCTTCCTTGAAGTAACTTTTTTCATGTTTATTTTAAGCGATTTCAAAATGTAGAAGGTTTTTCAAGTAGTTTGTGTGTGTCAGAGATTAACAACACGTAAAATAATATAATTCCCTGCTGTTTCCGTGCGTCTTGATACCCAAATTATGAAAGTTTTATTTTATTGTTTACATTTGTCCAATTACAAATGTCAAAATGACATGATGACAACCTTGCTTCCTTGATGTTGGCAGCGACTTATGGTCTCTTTCCCACATTAGCATTTTTATTTAAAATATTTACCCCCTAAGTTTAATTGCGTTACTAAAGCGTGACGCAAGTGTAGGGCTTTTTATTAAATATAGAACTATTCAAAAATATGCTGTGATTGCGGACATCTTAGGTAACAAAGTGTGTGTTTACGTTTTATTATAATAATGTAGTATAGGTTTTATTTGTCGCGATGTCTATTAGTTCGTGTTTGGTCTCTCTCTCTCTTTCCCAGAAACAGTTTAACCGATATATCTGCTGTTTTACTACATTTTTGACCGTTTAAAAAAATGAATGTAGTTTTATTTGTGTACGTGGTTTTATATTTAAGTGTATTATCTCGTTTCCAGTGTATAGTGACGGGTGCTGTTGGGTGTAACATAATATGCAATATCGGCTTCGTGTTCGGTCTGCCCGGAGTGCTGCTGCCCGCGTTACAACAACCGCACTCAGAAATACCCCTCAGTAAACTCAGCGCATCATGGATAGGTAAATATTGGTTGACTAATTTGCGAGTGTCGTTAGAGGAATTAGATTCGAATGAGGTTATCTTGGAAATGGCGATGATACGACGTGCCATTTGATAATGCTGATAAAATCAACTTAAAATCGCAATTTTTCGTTAAGAGACGAAATGTTTAAATGAAAGTATAATTATCAAAAAAATCTTCCTTCTAATGATACATAGTAATTAATCTAAATATTTTTAGATATTACTGAATTGTTAACTGTATTGATTTAAAAATAAATCCTTAGAGCGTGCATACCTGACTATCGCACAACTGTTTAGTCTAGCTTTATTTTTGTTATACAAAAAGGTGGCAATCAAACAAGCGGCCACCTAAATGCGTCAAAATGGCGAAGCGACCGCTGCCCATAGACATCCGCAATTGCAGATGCGTTGCCTACCCTAAATCGACGAAAGAGGAGAAGCACATAAAGAGGATGCTTCCCCATCCTATGCGTCTCCACCGTCAAATCCACTTTCCCATCCATCCCTCTCTTAAAGAAAAAGGTGGGATGGGAAAGGGACTAAAATTGGTCCTCCGGCACCACACTCATCAGACGAAACGCGGAATTGCTCCCACTTCACGCCAAAGCTTTGATTCCTATTAGCTTTTATGGATTTGCTACTTGATCTTTACGTGTGCAACTAAACAATTGAATTTGCAAAACAATCTACAATCGCACAACTGTTGTGCGATAGTTTATTCAAAGGTATGCGACCGCTCTTAAACAGCCCAAATTATCAAACATTCTTATATCTTATCTTTAAAATTGTATAATTTCACGAACTCAAGACTTTAATGATCAAATTCTGGTAACAGTTCGACCCTGTATTTGAATTTCTTAATGATTTCAGCTTCAATCATCAGCATCACATCCCTGTTGGGGAACTTCGTGACGCCCAGCATCATGGAGCGGTTCGGCAGGAGAGTGGCACACATCTGTGCCAGTATGCCAGCAGTCATCAGCTGGTTTGTCCTCGCTTTTGCCACTGATGTCCAAGTAAGCAATATTAATTCAGAGTTAGGTTGTGAATCTAGCACACCCTGATCCTATGGCTAAACTGCACAGTTTTCTTCTAATAATCTTACTTCTTACCAGTATAATAAATGTGAAAGTTTAGATGGATGTTTGTTAGTTTGTAGCCTAAACTGCTAAACGGATTTCGATGAAATTTAGCATAGATGTAGAGGATAGTCTGGAAGAACACATAGGCTACTCACTTTTTTTTCTTTTAAATACCACGCGGACGGAGTCGCGGGCAACAGCTAGTTATATATTACAAGAAATCTTTGTGTTTCAGATGGTGTTATTTGCCAGAGTTCTCCAAGGTCTGTCAGCGGGCGCCATCTTGCCGCTACGGTCCGTCCTCATCGGCGAATACGCAAGTCCTAAATATCGCGGTGGATTCCTCACCAGTGTCTCTTTAGCTCAAGGATTTGGAATATTTCTAATACATTTCATAGGTTCCGTATTAAATTGGAAGACAACGAGTATCGTTTGTGGAATTATTGCGATTTCGAGTCTTATTATGGCATTTTATTTGCCGGAATCACCGAGTTGGTTGGCGCTTAAAGGGAAATACGAAGAATGTAGGAAAGCATTTCGTTTGTTAAGAGGAGATGAGGAAGAAAGGGAGTTAGAAGAATTGATTGAGTCACAAATAAAGTTGAAGAAGAAGAAAGAAAGAGAGGAGAATGGGCCGCAAGTTAATTGTGTAAAGAAGTTGGGTGCAGTTGTTAAGAGAAGAGAGTTTTATATGCCTTTGATAATTGTGTTTCACTGTCTTCTGATGCTACAAGCGTGTGGGAATTCAACTTTGCCGGCGTTTTCTGTTCAAGTTATAACATTAATGATGGGTCCAACTGCGAATGCACACGCGTGGATGGTTGTTTTAGATTCTTTAAGATTAGGTGTAAACATAGCTGCTGTATTTATTATAAACAAATTCAAGCGACGGACAGTTTTGTTCTCGACTGGCGGATTGTGTACTTTCGCTCACGTGGCGATTGCAGTTTACATGTATTGTAAATCGAATAATTTATTATCGTATGACGCTGAATGGATTCCTGGTTTATTGATAGTGTTACAGTTTTTCTGTATCGGTTTAGGAATGGTACCTATGCCGACTGTGATATCAGGAGAACTAATACCTTTAGAATTTAGGAGTGTTATATCAAGTATTGGTGTTATTTTTCTAAGCAGTGTTATGTTTTTAGTGTTACAAACGTTCCCATTGTTATTAGATAGTATACATTTGTCAGGTACTTATGCGATATATGCCGCGGTGTTAAGTTATTTATTTATAGTGCTTTGGTTTATTTTACCGGAGACGAGTGGGAAGACTTTGCAAGAAATAGAGAATGAGTTGCGAGGTGAAGAGACTCGCATACAGGATGTTGAAGCTCGAGTGAGTTTGAAACAAGATGAAAGTGAGACTGCAAGATCCTTAACTTAATATGAAAAGAAAATTATTTACAGATATTTAAAGAATCCGTATGATGGATAACCGTGATCTAATTACTGATAGAAGTTCTTACTTTTTACAATAAAGGTAGTATAGTCCATCTTAAAATGATTTTCCCATTGTTAAACTAAAATATAGAAATTAATGTAGCTTGGTTAATAAAACTACCTCGTTTCAACAAAAGACTGTTAACTACATAATATAAAACTATTACATGTATACTTAATATAAACATGATTTTTGGTACCTGACTTTTATTCAAATACTTCTAGAAAATATCACTTTTAGAAAATATTTGTGCTTTAAGTAAAAATGTAGCGGCTTTAAATAATTGACGGTAGAGTTTGCAATAAAAAAAAACAAAATCTATACTATTTAATATAGCGTAAACACACACTTCTTTGTTGCCTAAGATGTCAGCAATTACAGCATATTTTTGAATAATTCTTATTTTAATAAAAAGTCCTACACTTCAGTCACGCTTTAGGCTATATATTTTCACGCTATTAAACTTAGTCGGTAAATAAATTACATAAAAACCCTAATGTGGGAAAGAGACCATAAGTTGCTGCCAACATCAAGGAAGCAAGGTTGCCATGATCTGTCTGCAAGTCTGCATGTCATGTCATGTATGTAAACAGTAAAATAAAGTTTTCATAATTTTATGCGGATGAAGTCGCACGGGAACAGCTAGTAGTCAATAAAACAAGGAGTAAATTGCAATTATTTTCTTCTTTATTTTTTTAAAACCCTCAGAGCCGGTGCACATTTTTGACTAAACTATCGCATAACTGTTCTGCGATTGTCGATTGTTTCACAGCGTTCAACTGTTTAGTTGCATAACTAAAAATCGAATAGTGTCCAGACCATATAAACTCATAGGAATCAAAGCAAGACTAAAGAGTTATGCGATAGTTTCGTTTACATATTACAATTTTTATTTACTGGCATTAACTTATTTACAACATTTCCATGTTCTATTTGCCGTGATATCCCATGGAACTCATCTGTGATATCTTGTAACGTCTTGTCCTTTGTCTCTGGTAATATAAACCATGCGACTAACAATCCATATGCCACCATTGTCACGTATAATAAAAACGTACCATGCAAATTGTAATTCTCCAACATATGCAGTGCTGTTTTTGTACTCAAAATGTAATTCAAACAGAAAAACATTTGCGCTAACATATTTGATATTCCACGATACTTAAACGCAAATATTTCACCAGCAAGGATATTAGGCAGAGTCAAATTGCCTACAGAAAACGTCAAAACATGAACATGTATGAGAAATAATCCAATCTGGTAATCTTGTGTTTTTGTATAAGAGTATATTATTATGATGAAATAAGAGAGTATGTTGCTTGAAATTGTTATCAAAAGCATCAACCTTCTTCTGAATTTTCTTATCAATAAGACTGTGCAAAAACTGGATACAGTTCTTAAAATGTCTGTGGATATTATCATAAACGACACATTAATATCTTGTCCTACAAGTCTGTGAAAGATATCCGAAGTGTACGCATCGAAAGTAGTAGCTCCTGACCATTCATTTATAATATGCAAATGAAAAATAATTATCATAGGTTTGTAAAACTCCTTTTTCCTCCAAATCATGAAAAAGTAAACAATCTTGTGTTGCAAATTGACAAAACTCTCTTTACTTTCGACCATATCTCTGATTATCATATCCAACTCTTCGTTTTCTTCTTCATATCGCAGCCAATCGAATGATCGTCTACAATCAACATACTTCCCACATGACGCTAAATATATAGGTGATTCCGGTGATAATGTTACTATTATTGTATTCAACAGGGCTGTCACACAGCAGATTATAGCAGCAGTTTGCCAGGAATAAAACGCAGCTATGGTATGATTGCACAAAACCCCTAATGATATAGCTAATGACATTGTAGATAAGAAAGTCCCTCTGTATTTCGGACTGGAGTATTCTCCGATCAAAACAGGAACTACAATAGCAGCGAATCCTAAGCTAAAGCCTTGAATGAATCTCACCAATAGGATGACTATTATGTCGGTAGTAAATAGTATACTAAACCAAGTGACAGTTAGTATAACCGAGCTGAGAAGTGTCATAGTTCTGCGGCCGTAGTTACTCATTAAATATGGTGTCATCATCAAGCCGAAGAAGAAAGATACGCCCGTTATTGAAGCTGGAAACACAATAACACCGAATTTATAATAAGTAATGTAATCAAAAAGCTTGTCAAAATATGGTTTAATTTATATTTCAATCATTCTAATAGACGTAGCCTAAACTGCTGAACGAATCTCGATGAAATTTGGCATAATTGAAGAAAACAATCTGGAAGAACACAAGCTTGCTTTTTTTTTTTAAATTCCACGCGGACGGTCTCGCAGGCGAACGCTAGTTAAAAATAAAATAATCGACGAGGATGGGATTCGAACCCACGCGTGCAGAGCACATTGGATTAGCAGTCCAACGCCTTAACCACTCGGCCACCTCGTCATGCGTACACTTGTGTAAATTACCACTATAGTGATACGTAAATTACCCTTAAATAATAGGCAAGAAAAGTGTTTTATTTATAGATCGCATATTTTATTAAATAAATAAACGATTGATCACGATTCACTTTATGTTGTGTAAGATATTTGTTTCGAGAGGGAAATCCCAATAAAGATACTTTGTTTACGGGGTTTAACAGGTAGGTTTTGAGTACTAATACCTCGGGAGCCTCTAGTACTACTGGTAGAACTCCGGTATCACCGGTGGAAGAGTTTGCAGTATATCTAGATATCTTACCTATCCACGAAGCAGTTTCATCATCAATATCCTGAGAAGACCTCAGCTGCGGCAGCAACACTGAGCTGAATGACATCACTTGACTGTTACATGTCATGCCCAAAGATACACCGAGTATCGCGAAACACTGCAAATATCAACTTACTATTATAAATAAACTTAAAAATAAAGAAGTAAAGAAACACCCGCTCCCCAGGTCCTTGACTTAAAATGTGTTAGAGGAACAAGAGAGCGGCATGTTTAAAAAAAAATTATAAATGCAAAGTTTTGGATGGATGGATGTTCGTTAGTTTACAGCCTAAACTGCTGAACGGATTTCGGTAAAACTTGGCATTGATGTAAACCATAGTCTGGAAGAACACATTGTCTACTTATCTTTTTTTAAAATTCCTTGCGGACATTGTCGCTGGCGAAAGCTGGTCATACTAATATAAATGCGAAAGTTTAGATGGATGGATGTTTGTCAGAGTTTGTAGTCTAAACTGCTAAATGGATCTTGGTGTAATATGGCATAGAACTTGAAGATAATCTGCAAGAACACAAAGGAGAGTAATTCAGTTTTTTTATTAATCTGGCGCAGACGGAGTCACAGGCGAAATCTATTACTTTATACAATAAGGTTTATTGTAAATATCTACGTAAAAATATGAGATTGACTCTTAGAGAAATCACTTTTATCGCTGTAACTAACATTTTGTGAAATATTTAAAAAAATAACTAAATAATTATAGAAACCTGTCTAGACAAGGGTGTCATCCATAATAATAATTCACTCATCACTTGATGACTTCCTGTAAATTATTAGAACACAAATAAAAAATAAAGTACCAAGTAGAATATTATACGATAGAATTATCGATTTAAATAAAAACAAAATACGACTTACTTGATCAAATGTTTAAGACGGATGTATGCCGTTTTAAAAAAACATTAAAAAACAGTTAAATTGGTCGTGTACTACAATGAGTGATATAATAAACTTACAATGTGCAATCACTTGAAAAGATAATGTGTTCATTTTCTATCTCCTTAATAATACAACTAAATATACAAAAGAATAACTCATTTGTAGTTCAGAAGCAAGTCGAGGAGTGTGGATAGTTGAATCGAAAGACTATATATATTTTTATATTATTGTAATATGTATCTTAACATATATGCAGAGAGCTGTGATTACATTAACAAGACGAATGGATTATGTTACAGAGAATATGATCAAGAGAGTGAATTCAGACATGACGGCTGATAGATGTATAAGCAGTGCGTATTGTGCCGACCCTCCGTAGGAAGTAGTTTGATGATCACACTGTAGATTCCATTGGTAACAATTCTACGGTCTTCTCATTTTCAGATACACCCCTAAATTCATCTTCAATCTCTTGTAGCGTCTTATCTTTTGTTTCAGGTAAAAGTTTCCATGACACTAACAAACAGTAAATAACAACAAAGGAATATAAACAGTAGGCACCATGCAAGCCGATAGTTTTAAAAAGAAATGGCACAGTTTTCACAATTATAAAGAAACTTGTCGAATGAAATAATACACTGATACCTCCAGCTATACTTCTAAATTCCAAAGGAAATAATTCCCCAGCTATAATGTAACATATTGGTAAACTTCCAAAACCTACTGTTAACATATGGAAATGTAGTAATAATATTCCTATCAGAGGATTATCTACAAGATCCTGCTGTTTTAAATATGAATACAAAGCTGTCGCTAACATCGCGGTGACAGCAAGCAATCCTGTTACCATCAACATAGATCTTCGTCTCTTCTTTTTTATAAAGTATACACCTATTATATTTGATATTATTCTTTGGGAGTCTAATGTAATTATTAATAATGCTAAATTCACATTATTACTAACAACCCTGTCCAGTAAATCAACTGTATATGTTATTAATATGTTTACTCCAGCCCATTGAGATAAAGTATAAATGTGGATCATTATTATTATCGGCTTATAAAACTCCTTCCTTTTAAACAATGTTTTTAAGTACACTTTCCGATGTTTCAATGTTGTCAGTACCGATTTTGTCTCTTTCACTCCAATTTTTATTTCTTCTTCTAATCTAGTTTGAATCATTCTTTCCAATTCGTGTTCTTCGCCATCACCTCGTAACCATCTGAACACTTTCTTACTTTCATCATATTTACCTCTATCAGCCAACCAGCTCGGTGATTCGGGTGATAGCAGTACGATGATAAAATCAGCTAGAGATATAAATGTGCAATAGACCGCAGTCGTCTGCCAGTGTAAGTAGGATCCCAAAGTATGTACAACGAGTACACCGACGGAGATCATCACAGATATAACGGTAAGGAAAGCGCCTCGGTTCTTCGGACTGGTGTATTCCCCGATAAGTACCGGTCCTAGTGTCGTCCCCATACCCATTGAAAGACCTTGAAGTAGACGTGATACAATAAGCATGGGTATGTTCGTGGCTAGGATGATGCCTACCCAGCCTAATATCATGGGGATTAGGCTCGCCATATTAGCAATTCTTCTGCCATATTTTCCCATGATTAGGGGAATAATAAAATTACCAATGACGAGGGCAAAGCCACTGACGGACACTGTAAGAAAGAAAGACTTGTAGTTATTTGTTCCTTTGTTTTATCAGAAAGAGATGGATGGATTGCGTGAAAGGAAAATTATTAAGGACGAAACCTGGCAGATCGACCCTTTGGGAGTACAATAAGGTAGGAGAGATGATGATGTTTTTTTTTAAACATTATAATGATGTATTTACCAATCCAAGAGCCTGATGAATCATCGATGGGTATAGGAGAATCTGGTGTTTTAAGCTGTGGGAGCAGGATGGCTGCAAATCCATTGCAAATTCCATGGCCGGCCAAGTTCAGAGTCACGCCTGATGTTACGAACGACTGAGACGAAAGAAAAACCATGTTTATTATGGAAGTTAACTTTGAGCAAAAGACTAATAGAGCCTTTAATTCTCAAGTATTATGTCTATGTTAAAGAAATTTTTAAATTTTACTTCCTAATTTAGTATTGACGTAAGTTATTTTAGAATATTCAATTCTTATCAATACGGCCAAAGAAGTTATCAAGTTTTTACATATTACATGAACACATGATTATTAAATTAAGTAACCAATTGAGATATTTATGAATCGATTTAAAGTTCTCGGTAGAAATAATTTCTCGGAAGCCGTAAAACCCATTTATTAGTTTCTTGTGAGGCTTCACGTAACAATAAATTGAAATCATTGGTAGGTTTTTACTATTAAATGTATTAAGAACGAAAAGTTTATAAATATGTCATAAGAAATCTTCAAAAGAACTGAATAGAAGAAGAATAAATATTTTTTACCTGCTTCACAAAAGGCGTTATCCATTTCGATTTTCTCGACATTTTCACAAATAAAACAAAAAAATACTTATGTTCTATTGTATAGAATAAAAAAACCTTAAATTTAGATCTAACATTTTACTTGAAAACTGTGTAATATTCCAGTTTAACCAATAACGTACGCATTATAAGAATTTTGATAAGCAAATAAATATGTCACTGCTAATTGTTTGGTTTTAACAACGCGTCGTATCGCGTGTTTTAAAAATATTCGTATGTTAATTTATCTGTAAACTGTGTTGAGGTCTGCAAGTATTAACTAGTTACAAAACTATACGCAATCCCAAATTAAACTATAACTTTGTGATTCAAGTTTAACCTAAAATAAAGACTCGAAAAAAAGAAATTAAAACATGAAGCAGAAATGTCTGAATATAATTAAATCCTTTCTGTTAAGTCTGAGCAATATGTTGCCGTGTATAAAAATTGCTATTAAAAAATGACATGTAAAAAAATATTTAATTTCTCCTATCAACAACCAACTTGTAAACAGATTAACATATAGCCCGTCTGATTTTTTGCCCGTTGACCTCGCATCGTAGTCAAATTAATTGCGCCGTCGCTAAATAGGTGAAGGCCTGAAGATTTGTGAGAGAAGCATTAGTGAACAAAGTCAGCGTTTTTTTAGCTAAATCGTACATGTATTATCATTTCCTTTGATTGTCTATTCATGCATTTAATATCTATTTTAATATAGGTGCGTATACGGGTTGAATTCTTTACTCTACAATAGATATTTTCATACAAAAGTATTAGTTCAGCGGTACCTGTAAAGAGAATTAAACACTATTTTTTAATCTGTATTAACAGCTTTTTTTAGTTGGTTACTTTTTTTTACGTAGCGAAGTATATTGCTTTTGAATATAGTAATATTTTGAATGAGAAGGTGAAGTGGATTTGACGAAAGAGGTGACGCTTAGGAAGGGAAAATAACCTCTTTCTGTGTTCGCCTTCTTCTTTGATTAAAGGTAAGATAAAAGGTAAGTATTAAGGCAATTGCGGTTGTCTATAGTCAGAGACCGCTTCGCAATTTCAGTGAATTTATATGACCGTTTGCTCGTTTGTCCTTATGACTAGTGCAAGGTAAATCGTCTAATTGCAAAAAAATATAGTCAAAGACATAACGGAGTATGATAAATCTAATCAAATTAATCAAGACAAGTTAAATTTGTCACAAATCGTAACAGCATTGTCAATTAATTAACGCCTAATCTTTTAACAAGTTCGCGTGAGTTCATTCTAATTAGATAAGCAGATGACGCACATAATGGGG